AGAAGAACCAGAGTGTCGGAGTTGTTTAAAGTTCCTTACCATTCTACTAGCTTGAATGAAACCATTACTAGAATTCTAAGGTTAGCAAATAAGGATAGCAGCTATATTGATTTGTTTTACTCATCCTTGTACTCTTTTAAAAATCAGGTTCAACATTTTCAATCACACTATTTATGTGTTCATTGTATAATGGCAAGTCCGCAAATAAATAAATAAATAAATAAATAATACATAGCTGAATTTGTTATTAGAGTGGCTATAAAAATATTTGTATTTAAAAAAATGTATTAATAATGAAATCTAATGAACGAAACGTCGCATTGCAATTGGTTTTCATCAGATTATAACAAATATGAAACAGGATTGAAATTTACCCTTTTTTTTATATAATTCAAAAAGGAGGCGGTAGACCCAAAAATCGAAATTCAACAATTCTAGTTTTTTGCTAATATTTCAAAATCGGAAATCATTCTAGTTCCCCAAAATAGAAAACTTTTGTTCAATTCAACCGATTTTGTAGGTCGGCCTGTAGATATGTATGTTCTGGTGTAGTCCTTCACATTAAAATAAACCAAAATGAACTAATGACGAATGGGAACACTCATATGTATAGTACGAGGAATAAAGAAAGACTTCGGCAGCCCTATGCAAGGTTATCAGTCTATGCTATGGTGAAAATTCACCATAGCATATTGGTATCAAATGTTACAATAAAATAAGAGATATAATAAGACATGAATCTGATTATATATATATCAAAAATTTGGGAGTCATGATTGTTAAACACTTAAGGGATTCACATATCAACTATCTGCTAAGAAAATTAAGATATCTACTCTCGAAATTCAAAGTTTTTAAGAAAATTTCAAATAATCTTAGGAAAAACATTCAAGATGGAATTAACTTATCAACTATCCGCTGAAAAAATTAAGGTATCTACTCCAAAAGTTGAAAGTTTTGAAATATATTATTCACTCCAATGTTTTTTGCGGTACTCCTCAGTGATCAATAATAAGACCTCTAGATTTATCATATACCTTGGAAACTTTACATAGAATCCAAAGTATTTTGAGACTGCTGCCTCTTGACTTTCAATCCAAATGTAAATGAAATAATTAGCTATAATTTTACTCTCTCAGGGCCAAGTCGAAACAATCCAAAACGACCCTAATGCTTCTTATCGAATTTCTCGAAATGCATTGGTAGTACTAACCCAAATCTTTTCTTTGAAGGCTGGCCGAGTGCCAAAAATGAAACATGAGCAATCCAAGGAAACTGACACCATCGGCCCCAATTTGCGTAGCATCGTTACCGTCGTCATTTTGTTGCTGCTGATGCTCTTTGCCGTCCATTGTACCTGGGTCACCAGCAATGCTTATTCGAGTCCCAGTATAGTGCTCGCTTCGTACGGAAGCGACGGATCCAGACAAATTCTCGATGATTTCAGGGAGGCCTACTTTTGGCTGTCGCAGAACACTGCAGATGAAGCCCGGGTTATGAGCTGGTAGGTGTTCAATTTTTAGTTGCTCAATAGGCGACAAGAAACAGTTAATACACAATATATTTTTTTTAATTATCAAATTATTAATTTCTTCAAAAATAAACATAAAATCAAAACTTATCACAGCAACGAATCAGAAGAAGTTGGAAAATTATTGACCATCTTTCTAGAACTAATTCAGGTCTGAATCACCAATGAAATCATTCGAATGTAAGTTGAACAACGTTCAGCCATTCAAATCAGAAGAAGACAATGCATATCAGGTTTGTATTGAAGAGTTTTCTGAAAGTTAGGATGGTTTCGTGTTTACAGGAATTTTCTATTATATTCCACAGGATGGAAAAGTCCTGGTATGGCTAAATTACTCGAAAATGTGGAGCCGTAGAAGAGAACAGAAGTACGAGGTTTTAGGATTTTTCCAGGTTGTCCGATGGTGACCCTGGAATTGATAATAATAATAATACTGATACTTTATTGTCTAAGAATAACTTCTTATTGACAAAGTGTCATAAGTAATCATTAAAGTAATGAAGGTACAAAATACAAGTAAGCATAAAAGTGGAAGTATAAAAATTATAAAATTAGTCGAGACGAATAAGATGAGATTAATGTGTATAAACAAATAAGTCGCAAAAAAGTAAAACAAGTCTAACAAAAGTAAACGATGGTGACCCTGGAATTGGCCTTGACTATGACCTTGTAAATAATTTGAAGGTCAAGGTCACTTTTTCAAATGGTACTCTATATTTTTATCATAATATAGTAAAAACTAAGACCAGCTATGACCTAGAGCGATTCTGAGTTGACCTCTGGAGGTCATTTGAAGGTCAAACATACTAGGTAAGAAAAATAGAATGTACAAGACTACTTGACAATGACTTTGACTACACAACGGTGATCTTAGAGACGTGATCTTGATCAACACCCTGTAGATTATCTGAAAGTGAAATTCTGTTTTTGAACGGAGAGTGTGGGGAAATTGTCTTGTCATGGTCATGACTTGACATATTTTTTCCAGTTCAGATGATTTTCCGAATAGATATCAATATTTTGAATCTGGTAAAGAGAAATGGCAGAAAATGAATCTCCTGCAAATTCAATATTTCGATCCCTCAACTTCTTGGGTTTACAGATGAGTCCACAATACTTGCTGTCACTGGCTAGTTCCACACACCACCTCAGCTTCAGAGGCTGGTTCAGGCATACAGCTGCCGGAGTGAATTATGGCCGGTGAGAAGCCCCTCCCTCAAGATGTGCAGTAGATGTGTAGAAATCTGTTATCAGTCTGTTAGATTATTCGAGCCGTAAACGTAAATTTCCATACAAAAATTTCGATTCCTTTTTCCCTAATACTTTCTTTGCCATACATCCACCCAAACTTTATGCAGATACTATTTCTCCCACCGGTCATGACTCAGTCCGGTAGTTGTACATGTAACCCTGTCTTTACCGGGCAATTTTATGTGTGGTCTTTATGTTTGGGATCTTTACCCTTGAAATTATAAGAACCATTATAAAATAGTTCGCATATATCCTCTATATCATTTAATTCACAAAAAAATACCCAACCAATAAGGAGTATGAAATTTTGCATATTCCATTTTTTTTTGTGTCCTACGTTGGTCGCCGAGATTTACATTTTTTTCCCTCGTCTTTCAGGTGGGATTACGGTTACCAAATAGCCGGCATGGCGAATCGCACCACTCTCGTCGACAACAATACGTGGAACAACAGTCACATCGCGCTAGTCGGCAAGGCGATGTCTTCTAACGAGAGCGCCGCATACGAGATAATGACCGCCCTCGATGTCGATTATGTCCTCGTGATTTTCGGAGGTGTGATTGGATACTCCGGGGACGACATCAACAAGTTCTTGTGGATGGTGCGCATTGCAGAGGGCGAGCACCCCAAGGTGAGTTTGCGGCCTATGATATTTTTGTATCTCGCTGAATTATTTTTACCAATCCAATGCATGAAATGAAAGTTGAAAGAAAACAAAGGCCATTCCATTATGACATTTTCATTTTGTTGAAACATACAAAGGAACTCGACTTTCTCTCATCAAAGAATCTTAACTCTATCAGATTTTTGTTTATTAAAACACTGAAAATCTCGGCCGTGAAAGTCTTAACCATTATTTCATATTTTAGTCCTATTGGACTGTTAGTCCGATGTTAGTTAAGATTTAGTGACGATTGATTCTATTTTATCCTATATACTGAAAATTTATTCTCACACCGTTTTTTACCTACTTATCAGTTACTTCTTGAATATGATTTTCAAACAAGAAATATATGTTTTTCATTATTATTAAGGACATCAGGGAGAGTGACTACTTCACAGAGCACGGCGAATTCCGCATCGATGCAGAAGGATCTCCAACGCTCCTCAACTGTCTCATGTACAAGTTGAGCTACTATCGCTTCGGCGAGCTGAAACTTGATTATAGGACCCCGGCTGGATTCGATCGTACTAGGAACGCAGTCATCGGTAACATGGACTTTAATTTGAACTACCTCGAAGAGGCTTATACGACTGAGCACTGGCTAGTGAGGATTTACAGGTAACGGGGGGTGGTGTTTTGGGGGATTTGAGAAGTTGAAATTGTTTTTTTTTTTGTGACAGGGTGAAGAAACCGGACGAGTTCAATAGACCTAGGATTCCCGTGGCGAGTAGAGTGGTGAAGTCGCCGAATTATGTTTCGAAAAAGGTGAGAAAGAAACTCTTTTATTGTCCAAACAGGCACTGGGCCCAATTACAGGACACAGTATACAATATTAAAGTAACTGAGAATCTGATCAATAATCTTACTTATTTTTACTGTGAATTAAATAATTGAAAAATATATCACATGGCAAAATTTTGAATATGAATAAAGTCTTGGACATCATGTATTTACATTTTTTTACGTACCTTCGAATTATAATTCTCATCATTTCAACTTGCATGAATTCAGTTTTTATATTGATTTTTAATTTTCAGAGCACCAAACGTAAAAAGGGGATCATCAAGAACAAACCGGTCGTAGTCAAAGGAAAGAGACTGTCTTCAAAACAATAATTGAATGAATTGGAGTGACAAAACAAAAGAGTAGTTATATAAATAATATTTTTTGTTGTTGGATATTGTTTTTTTATTATCACATAATTTTTTATCAGCCACCATATTGTACTGAAAGGACTTTAAAAAAGATGTTAAACTGTGTTCTCAGTTCTTAAGTTCATCTGTTGAAATGAGAGCGATGAATATTTTTCACTATGTGATAAACGTGTAAAAATGCTAATACATTTTTTGCACTTTCTTTTTTGTTTTCATTGTTTTTACAAAAAGTATCTAACCTAACCATCCCCTGTACTATTCCTTTGTATTTCAGTTGGATTCATCTCATGTTTCCCGAAAAAAACTATTGAAACATATTACCAAACATCATGTGATAACCTTCCTATGAAAGGTTTTTGTTTTTTCAAACGATTTAGCATTGTCACGAATTATTGTTTCAATAGTATGACGAATGTTTGGAGAAGAATCTGAATGGAAAAAGTCATTTTCATTAAATTCAACATTTGTATGAAAGTAATAGCTTCGAACAGACTCTTTTCTTTCATGTAATTCAATGTTCATGTTGAAGTTTTTTCTTTCAGTTCGTATCTGAGAAAAAATTCTGAGTATGATATACATATCTTTATAAAGTTTTATTGTAGTCACAAACTAAAAAGCAACCCCCTTCCCCAAAAAATTCAGTATTTCAGTATAGATTTTCTTAAATTCCATTTTAACCTAATTTCATGAGTATAAATATCAAATAAAGGAAATAAATTTTAATATCAATAATTTATTGTACTATAGTATTGAAATTGACTAGTGGTTCCACATATTCATATTTCTTTGGCTTTGTGTTTGTTTTTACTTTATCTGGAACAGACTTGGCAGCAATGGGCTCCAAAACAACTTCCTTGATCAGTTCTATTGGCCGAACTGATCCAAAAAAGTCGGTAATCGGCACTTCGTTAGTATTTCTCTGAAAAAGATCTTTCCTCACTCCGACAGTAGAAATGCAAACACTTTTAGGACACACCTTCAACTAGAAATAAAACAATCAGTAGACGAAATATTTGGAATATGAAAATCTACTCACGAATTCGGCCATAGTTTTATTGCTTTGCGGATCCACACTCTCCAAGAACTCCAGAGCGTAGTAAGTATAACGATCAATTATATACACCCCTATAGCAGGATCGACATGATGCTAAAAAAAATGTGACATTGGTTCACCGCAAAAAAATGTATTTTGCAACTAACCGAAAGTGAATCTTCTCCAACCAAACTGCTGCCAACGGCAAGAATGTTAGGGGAGTAAAACCTCTCGTACATAGAAGCTGCTTGACAAGTGTCGATCATGAAGAAGGTTTCATGATATCTGAAATTGAATATTTCATTTATACATGGACTTCAAAAAATAAAGTAAAAATTCAAATTATCAGCCAACCTTTGTTTCTGCCACATCTGTTCCAAAGCATCGGCCATTTCTTGACTGGTTATTTCTTCTGAATCTTGAAATTTGAGGAATCCGTCTCCTCCGTGACCAGTCAAATAAATTAATACATTACTTCCTTCATCTGTCAACAATTGTTTTGACCTCGGAGTACCCGGAGGAAGTCTCCCTGTCAAGAGTCTCACAAAATTTTCAACAGTAACCTTCAAAAGAAGCAGTATTTCATTTACTTTGTAATGTGAGGTACTGTCAAAATAGTTGTATTTCACATATTCAAGACATTATGTGATATCAGACACTTTCATGCATAAAAATCTTAATAAATGCTATTCATATTTACTCAATAATGTCTGAAATATTTTAAGATGAAATTATATGCGAAAGAAATGAATGGCAAGAAAAGTTTTGAAATTATCATTTTATTGACACGTACATTTCCTAAATTCTATATCGATTCTAAACTCTGGCTTGGAATAAAGTGATGTTATCTTTTTTTTTCAGGGAGATGAATTTTTACCAAGATTATTCCAACTATTTAGACAATAGCCTATATTTGTGTAAGTTACCTCATATCCCCTATAATCAACTTCAACATCATCTCCATATACGTTTATGTGCTGATTGGCGTTATTAAAAACCGTCGCTGGTCTCGGATTTCTGGGATTGCAAGCCATATCATCTGCAATCATTAAAATTATTTGACTGTCTGGAATACCCAGTCTCTTCACACTTCTATAAATCGATAATACGTTCGCAACATGTCTGTAGTTGAACCAGAACCTACTAGTGTCTACCAAAACAGCCCAGTTGTTTGTATGGCCTTTATTTGGAAAATTGATCTAGAAAGATATGACTATGATTTAAATATTAATCGTATTGAAGATGCATTTCAATTTACTTGACTTTTTGATGAAACAATCAACAGCAAAAAGGATAATAGTCCACATAACATTATGGACCTCTTGTTATTTTCAAAATAAATATTAATTCATTCAAAAATTCAAATTTCTGCAAAGTATTCTCTAACAACCCGTAACCTCAATTATAGTATTTTGACATTTTTATTTTGATTTTTTCAATGACATTGACTGCTAAGGCCATTAGCCAATTTTCTTATGATCTTATTATCAATAATAATGATTATACAATTTTCACACTATAAATTTCATTCAAGACGCTTATCACTACACCGTAGCTTTATCAGTTGGTCTGGTACATCCAAACTATTCTACAATGTCTTTTATATAATAGTAGGAATTACGAAAATTAATTTGATGGTAAAACAGTTAGATTTTGAAAAAAAAAACGATAAGAATACAAAATTACTTCTGAGAAAACAGATAATTATGAATATTATTTCTAGTTGAAAGTTAACTTATGAATGGTTGATTATTATCCTAAATGGATAAATGGTTAATTTGTAAAAAAAGTACCTCTTTTAGTTCCAATTTTTCACAAAGAGGGCCTTTTGGAAGTCAAAATTTGCATGCCCGATGCTTTCTAAGGATAATTTTTATTATTACTGTTGAATAGGAGGTACAAAATTGAAATAATTCCTTCAATAATATTGATAATTCATCATGAATGGAGTCGATTGAATCAATATTACTAATAATTAATTATAGTCGTATTGGGCTTTTTCTGAATGTTCATAAGGTAACTATGAGCGGCGCTAGCGTTTGGGGAATGTTTGTCGAATTTAGAATCAAATCGAGACATCTCCCTCACTTTTTCAGATATCAATTATTCCTTGTTGTGTTTTGGTCGTTTACTGAAATCTATCCTTTCGTGGTATCGAACCAAGTGTGACACTGATCGAACGAGTTGATCAAAGTTGAACAGCGTAGAACTTGGAAGTAACATACTCATGTGTTTCATATAGATCATGACTCACGATAAAAAATAAAACGGCAATCAAGGCTCCGAAAAATAATTCTATTGAATATCAAAGCTGAGAAAGGATTGAAAAAAGTCATCTCAGATGTAAATATTCCAATTCAGTGGTGAACAGTTTTGAATGATTATCACAGAAGTGTTCACCTAAAAAATCTAAACCACTTATGTAATGTCAGTAATCTATATTTAGTTCTCACATCATGTTAAAGTAGAAAATACTTATATAACTTCCTGAAATGGAAATTTGGTTTTTATTTTAATCGTGCATTCACTGCTGAGGTGACATGCATTACTTTCAGATTTTTTTCGAAAGAACTAATTTCTAATTACTTGTACACATTTCTACCAATCCAGATCAACTTGTGGTGAATTCAAATGTTTCCATTACTGAAGCGTGAAATCTATGGAGATAACTCTAAATTACAAAACTAGAACGATAATGAGTATGGAGACGAATAAAAATATACGTATATGAAATTTGTGGTTCAACATAGTGAGTCTAGTTTATTTTTGGTTTTTACACAATACCCATTTGAAAAGATAGCAATTCATCAGAAAAGGATAAATATTTATTTGGAACAAACATGTCACTGAATAATCGTTTTCAGTGTCAAAAAATGAGTTTTTGAACGCTTTGGAGCGATAAATCATCGCCATCTATTTCAGGATACGGAAATGCTGTCAACGTCAAAATCGCACAAATCGAACGCTTGCGCAAGCGAAAATTTCTTTCTCGACCGTCTTGTCAATCTGGCATGTCATAAGAGAAGTACCGGTCATTGGTTGTTCTTTCTCTACAATATTTCCTGGCTACATTAATAGTTAACTCGAATGTGGCAAAAGTTTATTAATTCCTCACTTGAAACCTTCACGAGTATAGCGTCGTGGTTGACTACTTGAGAACAAGCGATTACAGAGGTAAGTTTACGCATCTCTTTGTTTCTAACAAATTACAAAATGGAATACTAAAACACGTGGACCAGTTGTGGGAAAAAGATAATTCATGAATCGACCCGGCTTTTGTTGCTTATTTGATGAGGAAATGAGAATATTTCATGGCGTTTCATTTACTAACATATGCTGAAGGTTAAAGCGCGGTGTGATTATTGAAAATCGAGGCATTTTTATTTACATACCATGACCTTTCTGAAGTGTATGATGAAAATATAAAAATAATGTAGAAAGTTGTAATTGCTTTTATCGGGTACAGATTGAATTCGCAATTAATATTTAATGCGTTTTACGTGTTGATTTGGCGGATATATAGAGCGAATCGATTTTTTCGTAAGTAATTTTATTCATAATTGTGACCTGTTCCGACTTGTTGGTACATAAACTACATCTTTAGGATGTTTATAATTTTAAATTTTTTGTGATATTTCCGGGGTGAAAGTAGACAGTTGTTTTCGTCCTATAAGATATAAAATATGTCAAATCTCATTTTTTCTTTCTTTAGATAGTATAAAGTTTGTTTTCTTGATATTGTTATACCCAAACATTTGATTATTCTTATCAAATTGATAACAATCAAAATTCTACAAATGTATTTCTGTATTCAAATACATATGATTTAATATTTCACAATTACATACCTTCCTTGGATGCTTCTTCTGGTTTGAACATCTTGGGTTTAGAATTTCTCATTTATTTTGATATCGACAATGTTTATTACTTACTTGTAAACATTTTCATTAACTATAGAGATACTGATGAATGGAGATTTAATGATGCTGGAAGGAATCGTTTCTGCGAATTATTTCGTTTGGAAATCACAATGTAACTGTGTTGAGAAAAATTATCATTTTTCCTGCTGCTGCTGAATTTTTCTGCCAGAGAGATCATGGTGATTGCATCTGGTGTTACATCCCATTCTATTTCTGTTATAAGTTGAATAACATCACTGTAATTGAATATCTAGTAGTTCCTACACCATTCTTTTATTCCTTCAATATCAGTTGTAATTGATTGTGTTGTAATAAATGCATTTGAATTTATTATATGACACAAATTTGTGGTTTCTTTGGCGAATAGGATGAATTTACCTAATAACGTTGGTTAATATTTTTCATCTGAATAAGTTTTTTTTTTAAGTGTTTCATAACAACAAATTGTAAAACTTCATTAGAATAAACCTGTAATGAATGAAATTACCTGAAATTGATTCATTGTCACTCACCGAACTCAAAAGAGGAGGTTTGAAAAACCACTGTTTGGAAGTAACTAATCAACATGGGTTCTTGAAAGACAAGTTTACAGTGACCAATCTGTGATGAATTCTCAAAGGCATTTGAGATCGTAGAATATTACTTGATAAACTAGCTTTTGATTTCTTGGATAAAGAGTTTCCTAGTGGCCAAGGATTATTAATTATATATCGAAAACTATTAATGTTCTATCTGCTGTTTCCCAAAGCAGTTATTGTGGACATTTTGAATATTATTATTAACGACGTAGTTACCCACATCATTGACTCAAAAAATTCCTTTTTGTAGATGATTTTAAGTTTAGCGTCAGATTAAATTAATAGTATTACATTCAAATTATTGAAACTCTTGGACTGTGTATCTAGGATCAGTAAGGACTTCTCTGTTGATACAATGAGACTTGTATTGTTCATTGATAAGATGGAACTGAGAATATGCATCTATTGTATGGTCTTCTAACTTTGTATATAATATATTGTTAGAATGAACATTTCATATTCCACAGTGAATAAATGTTGTATCATGCTTACAAATTATAACACCTCAAATTTTGAATGGCTTTGCCTAATGTTCCATACACTGGAGAATTCAAATTGAGTTATCAGAGTTGTAAAATTAAATATAAAATGTTTTTACAGAATAAGCGCTGAAGAATTTCTTGAAATATACTCTAGTCATAACTTGGGGCTTTCATTATTAGTAAATTTCATCAAATGATGTGGCAGTAGCCACACCATTCTATTACTTTGTCAGTTAGTTGCTTTCTATCGATGCACAAATTGATTACATATGCACATTCTTTCGCCGACCCTACTGTAGGAAACATGTGCCATTAAAACCTAGTAAAAAAATATCAGTCTTCTTTTGTGTTCCAGATTCACCATGAGTTCCGGAAGCATCTGTTACAAGTGTAACCAGCCGGGCCACTTTGCCCGAGAGTGCTCTCAGCCCGGAGGTCGCGACTCCGGTGGCAGAGGAGGCGGCGGCGAATACAATAGGAGTCGCGCAAAGTGCCACAAGTGTAACAAGGTTGGTCACTACGCTCGTGACTGCAAGGAGGATTCCGCTCGATGCTACCGTTGCTACGGGGAAGGCCACTTCGCCAAGGACTGCCTCCAGAGCCCTGACATGCCGTCGTGTTACAACTGTAGGAAACCGGGCCACATTGCCCGCAGCTGTCCCGAAAGTGGAGGTAGATAACGCTTCTTCGTTTACTGTAGATTTTTTTTTGAGGTGAACATTTTCATTTGTAGCTCAATAAATTTCCTACAAGACTTTGTCGCCTTGTATGTTGTAATGGCTTGGACCTTCTCTTTCCTGATCCTCCTCGCTTTTGATACTGCTTATATGGCTGCTTTTTTTTGCTTGAGTTAATCAAAACGGTGCTGGAAATATTTCTAACTAATAATATTAACCAATCCATTAATTAAAATTCATTCATCAACTGAAACTATTGTTCATATCTTATATGTACGAATTAAAATGACTGCATCATAAGCGAAACACATTTATGTACCCAGATTTGACATTTACATGTTTGAAAATTCATCTGTGAAGTGAAATGCCTCACCCAGTAGATAATTACTAAAAGTTTTCTTATATTTTTCTCCTCTACCATATAACCAAATAGATGAAGTAACTTGTTATCAAACTTTTTCTGTTGCTAAGTGTGTGAATTTTATTCTATTGAAAGTATAGCCTTTGTAGTTTACTGCCACTTTTAGTGTAATAATTAAAATTGATTTTTTTTTTCTATTAAGATCATGTTATTAGGTATTGAATTGGCAATCAGAAGATAAAGTAGAGTAGGGTACTTTAATAATTTTTATACTATAGTATATTTATGGCAATTCACGAATACAGAAGTCCTTGCTCGGATTTACAAATATAAAGTCATCTACCAAAAAAAAAAATGAAAGTAAAGAAGGTTAATGAAATTATAAATATGAAATCAATAAACTGGGATTCAATGAGGTATTTCACTAGTTGAAAACCCTGCCACGTCAAAATATTCCTCATTTTTTTTTAATACTGGGACAATCAAAATTCAAAAACATTTTCCCTAAATTTTTCAAATGGAACACTGTATTTTTGTGTTAAGATATGATTTTTCTATGAAAAAATCTTTTTCAAAATATGGGCTTGTATTGGTAAATACCTAGCCGTTTGAAAGTTATAATAAAACTGCTTTCCAAAATAATGTTATTTTTAACATTGAACTTAGCAAACGTTTCAAAAACTGACTTTCAGAGGTGAATAAATTCGAAAACTAATAAATCTTTAGGTAATGAAATCCTTTTGTGGATGCACCCTCATAACCTTGTTTCATCAAAAATACTCTTCTGGAGGAACATGGATGGTATTGAATATCATTCCATTTGAAAATCTAACTTCGATATGAAAAGCTTCTACTGGAAACCCTGTATTTTGAAGAATATTTCAGAAAAGCCCAATGTATTGATATGAAAGTTATGAAACATTTTTTTGGTAACTGCTTCATTTCAATCTTTTAATGGAAATTCATTGCTATCTCGAAGTGACTTTGAGCGATAGAAAAGTACCGAGAAATGCTATGAAAATTTTATTTGCTTGAGTAAAGTCCCTTTTTATATTTTCGAGCAAAGAAAAGCTTTACAGGTTTGATAACAATAATTATAAGGATTAAAGGAAAAGTCCCAAAGAAAAGAAGAAACAAAATAACCACAATAGAAAATATTTACAAAGATTGTAGGTCATGCACAAGTTTTTTCAGATACAAACTTTGTTTCAGTACAAACTGGAAGAAAAAACCCTTTTGTGACAGCTACTTTCACATGGACATTGAATTACACGAAAGAAAAAGTCCTCCCAAAACAACTACTTTCATATGAACATTGAATTACCAGAAAATCACTTCTCATTCAGTCTGTACCCAAACATTTATTACGGAATTGAAACAACACTACACAACATAATATATGAAACCGTTAATAGAAAATATCACTTACATGGAATAAAACCTAATCTAAAAATATTTTTATTTTCAATTTAAAAAATTGGGAATAAGTGAGTTGCCATAATTGTTTTTGCTTGGAATTAGTTATTTCACTAAAGGCTACTTTTGATTTAGTAATGGTAGTGAAATTAGGTAAACAAAGAATGGTATCTTAGAGTCAGTGTTTAATGCAGATATTAGCACTAGTTGAAGGATTTCTAACAGCCCAGGTAAACTGTTTTCTCTCTTCTCAATTTTTTGTTAAAAAAACTGATTTGCAAAAAAGAAATTGAACCACGAGTGGGTCTATGTCAAAGTGTTTTGTGATTTGCTGTTCTCATTTTTAGGCCATTACTGCACATATAGAAATCTCAATGGGCAAGGTCTGGTAATTCAGCCAGTTGAAGTTCTCAATTCTTTGAATTTGAAATTTGTAACACTAAGTAGGTGCTTTAACGGTTTTTATTTGTGAGATTTATACAGTAGAAGTTATACAGCAAGAACTGCATATCATGCCCTGATGGAGTTGCACTTGAGGTTATGTAGTTCTTGCTCTCTTGACTTGATTTTGAAGTTGCAAAAATAACAATTATAAATAAATATGAGTAATCACGCATGCAGGTATTCAAAGGAAAGGGCATATTAGCAATGTATTCTTCATATTAGCTCATTGTTATCAGTGTACATTTTATATTCATTTGTGTTCTATGTGAATCTTCGTCCACAAGATTTTTGTATCTTTGGACATTGAATATTGGGCATCGTCAGTACCGGGCAAGCGGTTCTCGATTGAAGACAATGAGAAAAGCCAAGAAAGTATTTGATGAAAATAGCTGCGTAAACGCAAGCGAAACATAAGTGGAACCAAAATAGGTACTGACTTCTCGAAATGATTTGTCGTTGTTACCTCAATCTCTCTTGCAGTGGCGTACGACAAACAGATCAGTACAAATTTTGGTGAAATATACAACCACAGCGTTTTCATTTTAATGCAACTGTATTTCTGAGAATTTAGTGCCAATGGAAACTACATGTAGATTTATATGAAAGTTGCGTTTTATGCTGAAAATGAAACTTTAGTTGTCATATATTTCTTTTATGCTTTACAATGAATAATTTTGAAAGTCGACTTCGGATTTGCTAGACAAGTGAGAAGTAAAATGAAATTCCACTATATATTTGAATAAATTATCAATTTATTTCATAAACGGCTGAACCATTGACTGAAACCTCCATTTTCATTTCTCCAGGAAGTTGCTACATCTCAGGTAGTATCTTCTCGGAGTACAATTGGTTCATCTTTTGATTCAGACAACTATAAGCACTACCAAAATAATCAGAATAATGAAACCGTCATAAATTGTGTTTCAGCGTAACAGCGTAATAAAAATGTCCAATAGTATTAGATGCATTACGAAAGTAATGAATGTGGATAGTAGAAATGGGAAACTGATGTACAAAGGTTCTGTCAAAAAAAGAAGAAGAAAACTATTCAAATAATTCTACTCTATTTTGAGCACAACTGAAATTTCTTGAATAACAATACTGGTTAAAATCACGTAGTCAAATACAAGTTGTTGAACTAAGTACTATAATACAGAGAAATCCTTAAGGCGCTCTTATTTATATCATATTATACAATGGAAGTCCGAACTAATGAAATGCACCACGAAACACTGTCAACCATCTTCAAACAAACACTGGATTTGAATCGCTGGAGATTAAATTCATTTGGAAAAATGTTCTCAGGAAATGTATTCTACATAAACGCCGTCCTCCAAATGAAAGAGTTCTTAAACAGTAAAGTTCGAGGTCTACTGAGTTGAACCTCAAAACGAGGAGCAGCCATAGTCCGTCGCGTATTTCTGATATGAACCGCTCTTGGTGGAATCAAATGTCCCAAGTCACTTGAACGCTTCCCATGAGAGTATCAATAGGAGAAAGACAAATATCCAACCTCTCCTTGATGAGACTACCAAGTGATGTTCGCGTCTCCAATCAGGCGGATGGACCTTTTCTGGATGGAATCCAGTAGCTTCAGGGTATGTTTGGGCCGGAGCTTCATACATGAGAACAATACTCCACAGAAGGTCTGATCGGAGCTTTATAAAGCATCAAAATTTGCTGAAGTGTGTTCAGTTTTCTAGTTCGGAACACTGTCCGAGAATACCTACCACAGAGAAGCGACATTAACGTCGGATCCTTTAATGTTCGGTGTCCCAACTCCGAACCGACGATTTTGAGTGATAAACAACCTGGTTCACTGAGAAAAATACTAAATCTGACTCGATTTGTGACATTTTTGTCCTCTGAATTGAAAATTTCAAGATTTTTCAAAAACGTTAGAGCCTCTTCAAAAAAATCTAATTGTATTAAGTGTATTGTACCAAAATAAGAAGCAGGAAGTAAGTTCATTGCCACGAATGCATTCATTCCACTGGCAACTGTACGGCTTAGAACTTGTGTTGCTAGACTCACTTTCTTTTTTTCAAAATTGTTTGGATTGATATGTGATTTGGTAAGATTTGGTGTGAATCTATAAAATTGCCCTATGCCTTGCTCATAAAAAGAGCGCACAAAAGAACAAGATGTACTTTTGCCTTCAAAATGAAATGAATGTTTTAAAAAATTGTTTCTAGTGGCTTTTATCAAATGAATTGGATCAAAAATATAAACAAGTTTTTTACCACCGAGCTCAAATTCAGATTCTTCTAAAGTGACCCCTAATAACTTTGACAACTCATAAAAGTTAGAGCCCATGTCACTCACAATGCTATCAACATGCATACCTATATTGGATAATTTAGAAATGCACTTATCCAAAATATCACGTAGATTTTTTGCTGGTAGCTGTGATTCAATGAAAAAAAAAGCAATTGGTTGTTTCCAGGGAGAATAAAGTCATCTAGCTATAATAACGAGAACATTTCTACATATGGAATTCCTCTTATTTGCCTCTTCAATATCTTCGAAACCAATGATTTCATCACATCCTGTATCAAAAAAAAGATTGGATTTTAAAGCCATCTCATCTATAAATATCACACATCGCTTGTCCTGTTCGAGCATTGTTTTAATTTTAATTTCAAGTGCCTTGAATATTGCTGAATTTTCTACTGTTTCTCTCACGATGGATTCTTCAAAACTAATTATCTCCTGAAAACTCTTGCTTAAATAGCATAATTTTAATGTATACCGAGTTAGGTATGTACTTTTTCTAACTAACTATCTATCTCATTATGTTTGCTCAGTGCTCACAGACTAATGGAGACAACTAAGCCCGAGAATGACGTGGAGACAACCAAGTCGACGTATGCGTCTACGAAAAAGGGACACAAAATGGCCGTCTTTGTCGCTTCGAAACTTCTCGAGAAGATTCACTTACATGTTTCTTTCCATCATACAAACCACTCTCCTTTTTATCGTTCGCTTGAATAGTTCAATGAAAATAATCTACACCTAGAGATCACGCAGGTATAGTCCTATCAAAATACAAATGTCTTCTGAGAGCGACTTAAAAATTAATTATACAGCATATTCTTAATGTATTCACTTAGTCCTTAGCTCGCACAAGTTTCGACATCTGATGAGGGTTGTCATTCGTAGGGGTGCGATAGCTGGTTTCCGGAAAAAACATATTTCAACATATATTACTTAATATGTATTATTTTCATCATTCTCGCCAATTATCTCTATGTTTAATTGTATCTCATTTTTAGCATTTTCTTCAATTTTTAAATTGTATATGAGTATTTATAATTTTGGTGCTTGTACTATTATAAAGGGTGAAAACAATTAAATAAATTTTGAGTTAAGAACGTTAAGATTATTGCTTCTGTGCCTGTGGTCACAGAAACATTAATCAATCAACTACTCAGAACAGTTGTTGCTCCACTTATGTTGCACTTCAAATGTGTAAGTGGAGTAGGGACAGTGTTTGGAAATTCAAATATTAGTATACGGAATATTATGAATTATGATAGTGGACCAATACCTAATAGTATAATACTATATAGCTTGTTGAAATAATATGTTAGTGTCAGATTTACCAAACTGTTAGATAAGGCAATATTTTAAAAATTGATTTAAGACAATTGAGACACAGGTACCTAGCAGAGGTATCTAGGGTATAAATAAGGAAAATACTGTATCTAATTTAGTTTAATCTTCCTTTTGAAAATGATCACTTGGTGATTCAAACAAGTGTCGAGGTGTTAAAAATGGACCAAAGGGTCCAAACAGTGCATCACAAATCACAAGTACGGAATATTTGTTGTCATCCGTATTCACAAGCATGTGTTCGGTATGTCAACAGCTGGATGTAACGGATTATATACTTGAAAACAATTGATTTATTACTTGTGATGTACTGTTTGGAACCTTCGGTGTGGTAATGAATATTACTGGAATTTTTTCCCAACACCAAAGCGTTATTTTAACACCTCGACATGTGTTTCGATCATCAAGAGGAATACTAAACTAGTTTGATCTTCCTCTTGAAACACTTATTTGTGAAGAAAAAAAATTGATTGTGACCTGAAATGAAAGGAAATAATCAAATGAGACGAATAATATGTTTAGGACAATAAAAATAAAAACAATAAAAATGAAGATGAATAAACTACTTATTAGCTGAAGTGATATCAGTGATCATGAATATCTTCTGAGCAATCGAAACATTATGGAATAGTTTTGATTTGAAATTTTCATTCCTATATCCTTTTTTTGAATTTTTTTCGCTAGTCATCTTCATTGATTTATTGTTCACATATCATTTCTGTATTTTTTTTCAATAAATTCCGCTTCGATTCCAACTCAGTGGAATATTCAGGTAATAATATTTTTCATCTCAATGCTTATAACATTCATCACCATTTCTGTTAGGAAACTCACATTAGGCCGCAATAATTGCCACATTGGTGTTTAATATGGTCCGTTCTAGTATCACTGGTGTCAAATCTTTCTTCTTTGAGTAACATTTCAATTTCTAGACGCGTAAATTTGTTTCATCTATAAAAAATCAACGAAAGAACCTTATACCCCTCAGCACCCACTCGCGGCAAGAAATTTTGTGGTTGTTCTCATTGTTCGGTTATTGAAATCTGGCAACATCGTTTCATATGAGTCATAGGTATTGACGTAAGTGTTCATCGCAATATACGTAATGTTTCTTGTTGATAGAGAAGGATATTTATGTTGGTACGTCAATATTGTAATACTTATATTTTATTCCAGCAGACAAACACATACATGATGATAAATTTGTCAAAAATTGAAAGTATTTATGTGTATAGTTTCAAATTTGGCGCTAGATTGTGTAACGGAAATACCAGAAACGTCACTCTAAATGTCATTTTCTTGACCAATAAGAAACGCTCAATTGAATAACAACAACAGTCTCTGTCCGATTAGTTTGACCGCCATAAGAACTGTCAACAGCACGCGTGATACTTATATAGTAGTTGTTTCAGAAAAACCAGTGAGCTTTGGATTTCAATAATTGTTGTGAGATAATGTACCAGTGCCAAAATTGATCCAGCTGATTTGAGGTTTATTGTGTGTTGTGCTACAGAAATTCTTGAATGCCATTTTTGAAGTATTGGCATTATTTGAATGTCACTCATTTTATAACTTCAAAGTGAATGCATTAAGACGTCAAATTCGTTATTTGGATTTTGGGTGCTTCAACTTCTTCAGCTGTTAAAAGGCTATTACGTAAAATATTTCTTCAGTGTCAACTTGTCAAATATGAAAATGAATGATCGTAAGTAACCCCATTATCTTTAGTAAATAAATATTCATTAGGTTCAAGTACGGTTTCAAAGCATTGGAATTGAAATTTTATTACGGTTAATTCTGACATCCAAAAATTATAATGACACTAGATTTGAGCGGCTTTAAAAACGAGACCACGAGGAAGCCATCTCCGGCAAATGTCATTTTACTGTCAGCTGTCACTCAAAACGTGTTTTTCTGTTGCTGTTACCGCATTTTGAAAGTTAGAAGCTAACGCTTTTTGTTTTGTTCAAGAAATGTAGTACGATTGTATATTATAGTGCATTTATTGTGTGGAAAATGAGTAAGCAGTATTTTCCAGAAATATGTGAGTCAGTTCTTTCTCGAAAAAAGGTGGTTAAACAACAAGCTTGCCATGGTTATTTATGGGTTATAGTGATTCCACATTTTTACAAACAGTGGCGTAATAGGAAGTTGTTTTTGGGGGACCTAAACCACATCATTTATGAACACATTTTTTGTTATTTGTGTAAACTTTTCTGTTACTGGCTCCTGTGATAGTAGAAGTGTACATAGGGGATTCAGAACATGGTAAAACTATTCTTTCGTTGGTGCATGATGATGGTTCTATAAATGATAATGACCAATACATATTAGACAGGAGCTTTTTTATATACAAACTAAAAAAAAAATCCAACCGAGTTGATTACTTTCAAATATGAACATTGAATTACATGAAAATCATTTTCTCATTGTACTCCAAACATTCATGATAACGAAATAATTCATTATTTTTATATTTGAATCTAGTTTCGGATGGATATTTCTTCCAATTCATATCTGAAAGAAACATGTATTGTCATCTATACATCTTTTTGAAGGGTTTTTGTTTTTTTAACTTTTCTTCTGAAGTTTTCATGTTTCAAGTGAAAAGCCAAAAGGTGCTTTCCCAAAAACTAATCTCCCCTAAAAAATATTCCCTCTTCAATTGAACATTATCACTACACTAAACTTTAATTAAATCAGTTGGCAATTTCCAAATACCTTTTTTATCAAAACCACGTTTTTTTATATGATCTGAAAAAAATTAAATTATTTTGTCTGTATTGCAGCAGGAACATAATGTAGATATTATTTTGGCCCCCTTGTATAAACCATTGATGTCAAAGGCATCAAAACAAGCATCAATGCCAAAGTTGGCAGAGAAATTGTCAATTTCAACTGTCTGTCAGTTACTTCACTTTTTTTGGTGTTGTCATGATGAATTTGTTTATTCCCAAACTTTGAAAGTATTTTTGAATCAGCATGAATACATATTTTACAGATCGAGAAAGATTTCAGTCTAGCAGCAGCACCGATGAAAATGAGTCGGGCTCTGAGCATGATCACGAGGAGTTGATTCAGCAGAACCAGCTGTCTAATTTGGTGAACCATGGTATAGGCACTGCGGTTCGAAAACGAAGAGGAAACCTTCCGAAACACTCTGTGAAAATCCTCAAAAGGTGGCTGTACGAGCATCGCTTCAATGCCTATCCGAGTGACGCAGAGAAGCTCACGCTTTCGCATGAGGCAAGCCTCACGGTCTTGCAGGTGTGCAACTGGTTCATTAACGCCAGAAGAAGGATATTACCGGAAATGATCAGGAGAGAAGGCCATGACCCTTTGCACTATACCATATCTCGAAGAGGTAAGAAACTGAGCGGCATGTCTGGACTTGTAGAACAACCTACAGTCAATTGGAATGGTGATCTGCAGGCCATAGGGGGGAAGCGTATCCGCCTAGACCACGATTACGAAGACAGCATGACTTTGATGTATCGATCTGAAGAGGACAGCCCTAATGAATTTGCAGAATACGAAAGCTCTAGCCCTAGCGAGGAAGAGAAGTTCACTCCTTGGCAAACTGTCATTCGCTATGGAGTTCCCAAAGACTCGAGTCATCCAGCTAACAGAGGGTGAGTTTGATAATCTCTAATTTCAAGTCATAATCAAGTTTTATTCTGTATGTCTAATGCTGAACTAAAAATACTTTATTTTTATCGTTGTTTTATAATTCCACAAATAAAACTGTTCACTTTAACAATGAATTACTACTTGTTAAATTGTACAATTATTTATTAGTATGAATAGGATATCTTGTGTGATCACAAAATTTCTATTTGTCACTATATAATGGAATGCTTCTGAAGAGTCATGAAAAAAAATTTAACTTTGTTCGTTGGCCACTCTAAGAACTCGTGATAAAGGATCCATAATTTGTTGAGTGCTTGTATACAACGAAGACACTTTCATCATTCCTTGTATCTCTTTAATCGACCATCAAGTTGATCAAATTGGATAATTTGAGAAAATAAAAGTGCCCTGACAATATTTTGCAAAGGAACATTATGTTAACCTGAACCCATTTTTTAAAGAGATCAAATCATTCTGCACTCTTTCCATCTCTTCAATACACTTTTGAACCTGTTTTTGAGTTACTTGAACTGCTTAAGTGAGTAACTTAGGTTACTTAAAACTTTCTCATCTCTCCCTGTTGCAGAATATTCATATTCATAGAAATTAATAAATATCATTACCAGAATAACATTTTTGTAATATTTGTTGTACATTGCACTTTTCAAAAGGCCCTGCAGAAAAAACGAGAAGTAAATTCAGACAATCTGGTAGTAAATTTAACCTCTTCAGTGCTGTTGATGGCAAAAGGTATCGTGCACATACACAATTTAAGGTTAAGCAAGTTAAAAAACATGACTAGTTCCAATGAATCATGACAGGCCTGCATGGAGGCACATTGGAACCAAAAAATGGCAAAAATGTTTTTTGTTTGTATTCTTGTTTCATGCTCTATTAACACTATTACCATTATGCTATTCACTTATTTACTGTTGATTGTGAGTTGATGTTATTTTTGGATAGTAGCCGGTTGGGTTGGCATGAGTAGTTGGTTCTACTCATAAAATCGTTTGTTATGTGGAATGATGGTTCAAGTTCCACTACAGTTCCACTGCGTGTTGTCCAACTGTGTTAGAAATTGCACTTTTGAGGGTTGTTGTCGTAGAGGGGTGACAGCTGGTAAACGAAAACAAACTACATTTTAACAGACATAAACAGATAGCTGGATAAGTTTTAACTTTACTATATTTTGTGTGTAATTTTTAATATATTACACTGAAGTAGATTATTTTTTTAAACATGTTTGTTGTATATTATTACTTATTTTGGATTATATAAAACTCCGAACATTTGTAAACATTTTTGTTTCAATGTTGTCAAATGAAAAAGCAGTAAACAATATGCTTGAGAAAACTCCATTATCAATCAATGTATCGAAGGGATAAATTCAAAGAGAACAAGTCATTAGGATCGTATGGATTAATTTTTAGCAAATCGTAAAAATCTTTACATTCTGTCGCAACGTATAAATAGCAAAAGTGCTATAATTAATTTTAAACAAAACTCCCCTCACTCGACTAGAGTAAATTACTGATACTCATGATTTATTCATGACTATTATGTTGGTATGTAAATGTACTTGTTATTTGATGTTAATCAGAGGTAATTATTAATTTAAATGCTTCTGCAGTTGCTTGTGTGTAAATAATGTTGAATAATTTGTTGATTTGTAGGATTTTGTTTTTGTCTTCAGTCTCAATGTTTCATTTGAGAATTTTTGAATAGATTCATAACTTTTGAGTAGCTTTTGAAAACGGTTACAGTATGTTAAGAAGTGTCTATGCTTATTTCTGTAACTTTTCATATCAGAGATGTGTTATTGTATGTGTTTGTTTTTTCTGTTTATTTTATTGCACTTCTTTTCGAAATCCACTACCAGCTCCTAAAATTATTTTGGTATCCACCTGATTTTTCATTTATTCCATTTTATTCCAGAAATCTCGAAGAAAAGCCCACCACCGAATACTGGTCGGCTCCCCATCAGCAACTTTCGCACATGCCTCAGGTAGCGCACCCTATGATAGCTACGCCGAAGGTGCAGGTCATGCCGACTCATCCCATGGGAGCCCCCCCGAGTCCCGATCCTCTGAGGACAGACCAAGCCGAAGACGATGACAAGTTCAAGTGCCTCTACCTCTTGGTAGAGACAGCTGTGGCTGTGAGGCAGCGCGAAAAGGAACAGAACGACGCGCAGATGTAGCCCGGGGCCAGATCCCATGCTGTTTAAGTGCCTTGCTTTGTTCCCGAAAGTGCAGATACATTAAGATATGCGTTGTTTGTGGGGCGAAATTCAGTGCCAATAGAATTCTTCTCGATTGTCTAGAGTTGTGTAATTTTATATAAGGTTCTAGTTGTTACATACTTTTCTTATTTTCCTCGTTGTAGTGTTTAGTGATATATTATTTGTATGGTTTGCATTCGGAAGCAGTTTGGATGTTTGACTTAAAGCAATAGAGTGATATTAAACTGTTGAAACTAATATTCAGTGTTTTTTTTCTAATCCTGCTTCCAAATTTTTTAAGAAATATTTCATCAGTAGAATAATAGAAATTATTTATTGACCTTTTCTGGAACTTTCCACCTGAAAACATTGAAAGTAGTAATGGAGGAAAGTCCTAGAAAAAGTCAGTGAAAAACTGATTCATCTACAAAAAATGGTTTTCCTTCAATGACCAGAATCAATCATACCAAAGAAAAGTCAAGAATGATATTGACAGTATCAATAATTTTGAGAAGAATATCAAAAAAATAATTTTTGATATCGCGTTCCCCAACTACTGTATTCCAAAGATTCCCACCATTGGGAGGGAGTAAATGGTTGCAACTGAAATAAACAAAGAGCATTTACTGGTGAATGGGGGAATTGACAAAAAACGCAATTACTGTGCAATTCTTGATTCATATGCCATTTACATAATAATAATATGCTTTATTATCATAAGACATATTCTTGTAGACAAAGCTTGGGTTGTAAATACTTAAAAAAATGCAATTCATACCAAATGAAATTAAAATAAAAATGGGTACAAACTATGTTAAAATGGAGGATATAAAAGATATGTATATATAAAAGAGTAAAAGTCAAGTTTATAAAAGAGTAGACATAAAAAGTAACAACTTACGAGCTCCTTAATAAGTAAAGATAAAAAAATATGAGTAAGTCAGTTAAAAGCTATCGTCAAATATTCATCCAAAGTATAATAGGGTCTATCAGATAGAAATTGTTTGACTAACTTCCTGAATTGGAAGTCATTTATATTGGCAGATCTTATGTCCATAGGCAAATGATTGTGTACATTTTTCCACCATTGTAAATTATGGAGTCTCTGGCGATGTTTATAGTTGGTACAGTGAGTTTCAGAGTGTGTCTGCTGTTTTGGATGTTATAATGGGAAGAGAATGCAGCTAAATTGAATACATACTTATTTATTAAACACACATATTCCAGTATAAATAATGCAGTTACCATTTGAAAATTATGTTCTTTGAAGAAGGTTCTACAGGAGTCTCTTGGTTTAAGGTTTCCTAGGTATATACCTCATTGCCCTTTTCTGTAAAATTTGTAGACTTTCAAATAAAGTTGGACTGCATGCTCCCCAAAATGGTATTACGTAACATAAGTGAGAATCTATGAGCGCATAGTACGCCATCTTTGCAGTGCTGAACCCCAATTCTTTATAAAACACTCTAACCGCATAACAGCCAGAGGAGACTTTTCTGGTGAGTTGTTTAATATCATCCACAAATTTTAAATTCTGGTTGATGAACACTCCTAGAAATTTAGTGTTAATTTTAGATTCCAGTGATGTCTTCAAAAAAAAAATCGTTGATTGATCTTCTAAATGATAATAAATTTGTTTTAGTTAAGTTAAAAGATAAAATGTTTGAATCACACCAATCTTTAACTTTTTTCAAGTCGGCAGAGATTATTTTGTGCAACTCATAAGTGTTTTTACTATTCCAAAGTGTGATAGTGTCATTTGCGAATAATGTGAACTTCCCATGTCAATATCGAAAGATTGTTTAATATATCCAAGTTGGTGTAGAAGAAAACGAATATGTTAAACAGAGACAAACGTTAGTTGATAGAAAAAAGTGAAAATTTAAACTAATTTATAGATGCCTATCTATGGAGTAATAGGGAACTAAAACTCCTTTCCACTGTCCCGTGTTAGGAATCACACGTTAAAAGGTAAGACCTTGTTAGTCCTTAGCTCGCACAAGTTTCTCAACTTCTGAGAGTTGTCGTTCGTATGGGGGCTACAGCTGATTAACTTGTCACCTATAATGAAGTGTGTGTACATTTTATAAAGTTTGTGACAACAGTTTCATCTTTGTATATAGGATGGATAGTCTACATACAAAGTTTTTACGATTACTTGATGGCAAATAAATTCAAAAAAATGTTTTTTTTTAGATTGATCATTCATTCGATTTCACTCTAAATTCGAGCTATTTATAGTCGTTTTTTAGAATCTATATTCAAGAATGTTCCATTCAATTTTTTTAACAAAAAACGGATTTCAGAAGATAGTTGAATAAATTTTTAGTTTACTCTATTATTTTCAAATATTTTTCTTGTATATTACTTATTTTGTACAATTTGGGTACAAGAAAGGATCTGAACCTGGAAAATTAAATAATGTAACCTCTTTATCTTATAGTTTTTAATTGAATAAAAGTTATAAAAACATGTTTTGTAACATTTTGCATTTACTTTTTATTGAAAAATTATTTATTTTCAATGTGGTGCTTATAAAACACTTGATTTGGACACAGATATCTGAAAGACAAATAAGTTGCAGTAAAAGACTCCATTCGTATTTTTTCTTTAGCTTTTCCACGTTTTTGCAGACAATTTTCAATTCATTTTCTAATCTGTAATATGTAAAGTAAGACAGATCGGTACCTAAAATAGCAGAATCCAGATATTCAAAAATAATCCTTTCAAGCCCCTGAAAACAGTGATGATTATCTATGATTTTCAAAAACTTGTTCTTATTCATTTCAATGAGAGATTGCAGAAAAATTAGTTCATAACATTTAGCTAAATTAAAACAGATAAAAAGACATATTTCTGATAAAGCAATACACATCTTCAACTTCTCAATGACCTTGGACAATAAAGGAAACGTTTTTTTTAAATAGTTCCATCCTGGTTTCCAGAGGTTGAAACTCCTAATCCAAATCCATAGGAATTCATTCAGCACAAGCAATATGATTTTACGAGTCTGTGAAACCTGGCTAACCAATGAAATTCCACACAATTTGACCCACATTGAAGGTCTGAAGTTTTTTAAAATTAATAGGGATGGGAGGAGTGGTGTTGGTATATGCATGAGACTAAATATTTCACATGAATCCATCAATATAAACACTGATGACTCTTTGGAATTGATCCACTGCTCTATAATTACTGAAATTGAAATCACCAATCAAAAAACTTCGATATTATTGATAAAATCTTTCTGAATAACTCCTCAACTGCAGCTTCATTTGAAGACATTCTTTTCCGAAAGGAAGGTAGTGCCGCTACCCTGATATTTTATCGTTATTGACAGATTCTTCACTCTAGAGATCGCTGGATTTTATTTGATAATAGATGATTAGTCTGTGGTATATTAGTACTAAACGTCTCGTGGCTGCATCGGACTTTTGCACAAGACTCGCTTGAAGAAGCTATTGCATAGCTAAGCACGTGTCGCGTTTTTGTAATATTGTTTTATTCAAATTCCTTTTATTTACTGCTTCGTTTTACATTAAGATTCTTTACTTATGCTTCAAACCGATGATTCGGTTTTATTGATGCTTGAACAATATGTCTGCCATTGTTGCATTTCACGTTATTTAAAAAAAACAATGTAAAGCTTTCCCTGTAATATTTATTAAAACATTCTCAACTTTCCTGGTGCTTCTCTTTCTCCTTCAGGAGTATTTATTTTGGCTCACCTGAAAACAAAAAACCCCCCTTTTTCCAAGGTCATGGAGAAATGAAGAAACCAATACATGAAATGATAAAACAATCCTGGCCAAGCCAAGGGAGCGCCACTGATACATCACCAAACTGTTAAAAGTAGTTAACAAAATAACAGAAGTCATTTCTTGAGCAACATATTCCTGAAATCTGCGTTGCTCTTCTTGCCCTCCGAACCGCTTCCGTTAACTCCGCCTTCAGCTTTCTTCACTTGCACAGACCTGGGCACCATCGGTATCTGTAGCCTGCTTCTCGAATGCCGAATAGGTTCGTCTACTGGCTTTTGTTGCGGGGTACCTTTTGGCGGTGGTGCGCTAATTGCCACTTCGATGGTATTATCGCCGACCGTAGATTTGTCCAAGGCTTTTAGAGCCGTCTGCGCTTCGTCCGAGGTCTTGAACTCTACGAAAGCGATGCCTTTTGACACACCGTTCCGCTTCGAGACGAGTCTGACGTCTACAGGAGAGTAGGGTTTGAAGATTTCCTTAACCTGAAGCAAAATATTATCATAAATGTCAAAAATTGCGGTTCTTTTCAGTTTTTATTTACTTACATCCTGAATAGTCTTATCTAGTGGCAGTCCCTTGACGAAAAGTTTGTGTTCCTCTAGGGCATTCGCGTACTTGAATGCGGGTTTTCTCTCTGCTTTGCCGGGGTTTATTTCGGAAATGAATAGTGGTCGACCGTCGATAGGAACCCTGTCTCTGGCCAAGGCCACCATGACCTCTTCCTCCTTCGAAAACTGTACGTAACCGAAGCAGCGGGATTTTCCTTTTTTGTCCTGTACTACCTAATAAAATGAAAATGAAGGATCAGAAAGACCAAAGATTGACATATCAAAAATAATATCAAGTTTGAACCCTTGTCAGACAGCCCTCATATGACAGCCCTGTATATGTTTGGATATGAAAGGAGCAAATAGAATGAAAATATAATATTCCTTCGTTGTTTGAAGTCTGCATCGAGGAGTGATACATACATACCAGAAAATACATATTTCGAGTAGATCACCTACAGCCCGGTTTCGAAGTATTACCTCTCATCAGTACACTGATGATTAATTTTCTATTGATTTTTTTCATACGACCAGCAAGAAGTTATTCACTCACCATTGGTTGAATTGTTTTCATGAAATGTCAATAATTAACCTATTTATAAATGGCCTGTTTCCTTAGATAAAACATAGTATTGTAATTGTTTCTTCAAAATCTATCTGTTTTAACAGAATTAATCATTCACCTAATCAAGTTTTCTAATTGCCTACAGTCATATACAAGACCGTCCAACTGATGAAGATACAGTGTAGCAAAACACACCTTAAATTAAATTTATTGTGAAAATTGTATAATATAAAGTACTTTTTTTAGTAGACTTTAATACATAAATATGCAAGTGAGTATAGAGACAGTAATCTTGATAAAATATTTGATGTGAGATCGGAACATTGAAAACATGTAAAAAATGAGTACAAAAGTTATGTTTAACATGTTCAACTAAGTGTCCTTCATACTGCCTGTCAACCTTCCTTGCCTCAGGCAGGTAGTCTCCAGATGAAATGGAGAAGGGTCTGTCAGGGCCGGCGTCAACAATATTTGTTACAATAATTATTATCATGGATGGTGTTTTTAATTTTCATCAAGTAATGGGTTGATGTATTTATAATCAGTATAATTAGAAATAGTAATGATATTAAATTCTTAGACAAGAAAAGCTTCAGGTGTATTATCACTTTACCTGGCAAATATTGGCTGCTTATTGTCACCTCCAAAATTAGTATTTTTTCACCTATAGGGAGATTTTAGTACATCAATTTGAAAGAAAAACAATAAAAATTACCTCTATTTGGACGGCATTTGGGAAAAGTTCTCTCAGACGATTCTCATCAACAGCTGGATGCAAATTGCTGACAAAGACTGTCGTTTTGGGATTCTTATCTACGGCATTGGTAGCTGAAGGACGAGCGGCAACCTTGTCCTCTGGTATATGAACAAATTTCGGCCTTTTACTCTCTACATCATTTCTAGGACCGAACTGTTTACGTTTCTTATTTTTGTCTGGCTGGTATCGTCTTTGCTCTGGCTGCTCCACGATTTCCTGAGGTTCTAGAGCTTGAGGTTCTAGAGGTACTACTGCCTTTGGAATAGTTCGACATTTCTGCCAGCAATTCATGACATCTTCCAGAGTTCCCGATTCTCTTTCAAACATCAGCCATTCTTCAGCGATGTATTGTGGCCAATCTTTACAAGCCAACAGTGCTTTTTTGAAGAGAGTCCTCAAGTGACTAGCATCCCCATACTGTCTTTCGAAGTTTGCATACTCCAACCAAACACTTGCCTTATCTTAAAAAATAGTAAAGGCCATTGAAAAAATCTAATCGAAAAAATGTACCTTTATTTTACCTTTATTTTGTTGTTGTCCCATTATCTCTCCCCACTTTTTTCGGGCTGCTGACAGGTCACCTCTTTTTGCCACTAGCTTGGCATGCAACCTACCCAGCTTGTTAGTTGTATCAATTTCCAGAGGCACTTGCTCTTGAGCTTGAGCAAAAAGTCTGTCTAACTTAGAGTTATCGTTCCCGTTTCTGTAAGTATATTCGATGTATGTCAGCCATAAATCTAAATTTGTTGATACGTTTGCTAAACCTAAAAAGAAGTGAAACTCTTTACTACCTTTGACATCAATCATTGAGTTTTTTTTCCTGATTGATTCGGCAATTACTTGATGAAGATCCATAGTAATTTCAAAAACTACACCTCACGATTTGATCTCCACATATATATAATTGTATTTATTAATTGTTAATTAGAAAAATTCTTGTTAATTTAATGTGAATATTGAGATTTTTTTATTAAATAATATATTTTGTTTAATTTTTCAATGTGATGAATGTGATATATTATATTGGAGAGATCAATTTTTGGGAAAGAAAGGGTTTTGGCTTTCTACTTCTCTATCTTCATATAAAAAGTGGGACTCTTCCACAGAAAGGTACTGAAGAGGTGATAAAGCAAGTGTCTTATGCCGAAACATCGGATGTCAACCAGTGAGGGTGACAGTGTTCCATGTAAGCAAAATTTTACCTCTTTGATTTACTATTTTGTGTAACATTCCTGTGAATGATATCTGATTCAATTTCATCACGATTGTTTGGAATACTGAATAGAGAAAAGTGTTTTTTGAAAATGAGAATTAAAACTTCATACGTTTTTATACTACTTGTATTTGTAACCAATGTTGCTTCCTCCCTTTCTTTGGGAGATTCCCACAGAAGTAGAAAGCCAAAAAAATAGTAAATATCAATTTGATTACATAGATTTTCATGTGACAGCTGATTTGATAAACACCCATGAAGAGACAAATCTGGAAAATTTACCTTCCTCAAAACATTTCAGAACTATTTTCTTGTCTTTTTTACATGCCTCCAATATCCTCAACCTCAAAATCCATAGTTCTTCACTCCATGGACAATTTCTCACGGCCCTTTTGCTTACTTTATCTGCTACCTCGCCCAATTTAAAAGCATACATGCAGTATTCCTCCCACAGCTGGGGTGTCAGACAAAGTGCAGCTACTGCCCTTTCGTATAGACACAGCACTGTAGACGGATCTTTGACAACTTTTATATACTCCTTATAAACATTCAAAAGCTCTGTACTCTCAGCAGTCAGTAACCTTTCTTCAAATTCTTTGTAGATCTCTAAAAGTTGCTTGCTTTTCTTGTAGGCCCATTCTACAGGCTTCGGGTCCACGAGCCCTTCCGGTAAGGTTTTTGACCACTCCTGCCACTCTTGGTAAGTATTTTCTGTATTTAGAAGAGGAACCGAGAGCTGTCGTTTGAATACGTCGGCCAGTTTGCACAGCTGGTTTTTCCATTCTTCTGAATTATCCGGGAAAAGAGAAACACGAGCATTTTCTAGCTCACGTAAGGTATCCCAGAGAAGAGAACCTTCACTTGCATGGAGCCCTGCTGAGGTGAGTCCTTGTTCCAATACGGAACGGGTTTTAGCCACGTCACAGGCACCAATGGAGAATTGGGCAAATTCTACCCACAGTTCAACAGCTGAAACAATTCATGTTGATTATTGACATAATTAATAAATGTTCTATTGAGAAAACGAAACATTGATTCAGGTGACCTTCAAGATAGTGTTTTGGGTACCGTTGTTCATTTTATATAGGAATGTAAATTCCTGTATATCTTCATTTAAAAAGCTCGACTCTATAGAAATTACAAATCAGAGAAATGCTTATGATTCTGAAGTGTAATAAATTCACTTCTATAAGATCAATGCTTAGCTCGGTGTTGAGGAAATAGTGTATTATTTTTCAGTAATTTTTATTTTCAAAATACTATCTGTTGAAGTTTCTAGTTATTTTGACAGATTTATTGTCTTCTAGAAACATATGAACAAATATCCAACCAGAAGTAATGACAATTTATACGTTGAGCAAACAAATTACCTCTGAACTTCAATCCCCATATTCCAAATAGGTCTCTTTGAATACAAAATTTTCATCATATTATTTCACCTAACAAGTTAAATCACTTGTTAATTGGTAATTTGAAAAATAAGTTGTAAATGACAAACAAGGAAAGTGATATTGGACTTGCTAGTATACCAGAAGAAATTGAATGAAGAAGTAGGTACATTTTTCTGCTACTGTTTGTATATCAGTATTTTTATCAAATTTATTTTTGTTATCGCAAAAATATCATGTATCTTGCCAATTTGAAAAAAAAAAATTTACTAACTGTACACAAGATACTCACAAAGATAATCTTCTACGGCTTGTTCAAAGAGTGTAAAAAGTTTATCTTTCTCTCCAGATGTGTTAGCAAGGTTGACTTCAATTCTCAACCAGTCTAGCCATAATTTGGGTGTCAGTGGAAAAACTTTTCGAAATCTCTCATAGGCCTCTCTCATGGAATTGAGATCTTCAGTTTTCCGGTAGATGTCTACCAATTCTTCATGAACAGCGTATAGGTTTTCATTGGCTGAGATCTGTTTTTCCAAGTCTTCGGCTCTGATAAGAAGCTGTTCAAAAATAAGATGAAGTTTCAGTAAAACATATCACTGTTTGACCAATTTTCAACTATACTGACCTGACTTTCTTCATTGTCGCTACTAGAGCTCGAAGAGTCACTGTTTTCATCTTCGTCTACGTTCATGGATTCTTCGTTTACACTCATCTTGTCTTCAAAATTTGGTTCCGTCATTTCATTAAATCACCTACTATTTATTTATAATGATTGATTTTTTTTGTGAATTTGTGGTTATGTTTATTTCGTTTCTTTCTTCTTGTTCTTCTCTTCTGTTATTGGCCTCAGCTACCAAGACTATCCGGCCAGTGGGTAACAAATTTGATACTTTAGAGCCGAACGTGGCCACAATAAAGTGAGCCTGGGACGGTCCCATCCACATTCTCTCTTTCTAACAGACAGTTAAGTCACAGAACACCTAACTACAGGGTGTTCTGTGGTTAAGACACAGTATAGCTGAAACGTTTAGCCACAGCCACCGTATAGATGTTTACTTCTATACTACCGTATAGAACGATGCCACAGCTTCATGGTGTTAAGATATATGTCGCAAGTTTCAATTTGTAAGAACTCATGTTTTCTATTTGTTACTACTGAAAACGTACAACTATTGCAATTTGATACTGCTTCAACTATTTTAGTTACTTGTAGCTCATTTTCTAGGAACGATTAAAACCATTTCAACACATTGCCCTATAATATTTAATTTTATCATATATGAGAACATTACCTTAACAGCATTTTTTTTTGAAATTATGGGAATACACTCATTCCGATCAATTGAGCTTGCTGTATGAGAGATATTTGTTGAGATTATTTCCAGAAAAGGAAAATGATAATATATAAACTAAAAAAACTTAGTTAAAAAATTTAAATTTTGAGAGGTGTGTGAAATTATTCGGTTAAACAGGTCTACTGCATTCAATCACAGCGAAGTTGAAGAAGAATTTCATTAAATTCGAAACTTTGGCAAGAAACCAATAGTTTTCTGAAATTATTGGAAACTGTTACCCAAAAAACTTTTACGAATGTAACAACTAATAATTCAATTCACGTGACTACTATTTTTCATGGTGATAAAAATGTTTCCTTGTGTTCAAAGTTCAGTCGTAGAACCTAGATGTCACTCTCTTCGTGATCCAGGGTTACTCTATACTATTAAAAGTTCTGTTACAATATGTTTTCTGTTAACCATTTGTCGCCCACTACGAACAATATACCTCAAAAGCAGAAAGTTGTGCGAGCTTAAGGATTGACGAGGTCATACATTTCAACGTGTGATTCCTAGCATGGGTTGGACGACATGTAGTGAAAATCGATTGTCTGGCCTCTCAGCTCGAATCACTGTTTCACCTGACGATCGATTGAATGAGTGGAACAAAATACACCAACCCAACCGGTTAAGAACTCTGAAAAACGTCTAGAGGCAGGCAAGTTCATAAGCAGTTATGAAAATACGTCGTCTCCTTACAGATGACTAATTTTTCGGATAGTTCTGTATCAGCTGTATATTGACGGGTAAAATAATTTTATTTGACCACCGTCACTTGAGTAAACCAAGACAATACATTCTGTCTTAATGTCACAAAGCAGATTTTTAGATATGGTAGCTAAAACCATATTAGAAAACGCAAAAATTTGACCAGAAAGCAACTTAATGTTTTGAGAACTTACTTCAAACAACTGTCAAAGTCAAAACTGTAGAATTTGCAGAAGTGAAGTTTAAGGTTATTTTCGCTTCTATTTTGATAAACGGTGAAGAGTAAATATAACTGTTAATAGTGTTACTTCTTTATCGGTCCGAAATCATTCATTTTTCAATAAGTCGCTTAAAAAATGGCTGACGTATTGGACATCAATGATGCCGTCGACATAGACGTAGAAGACGATGGAGAGCAGAGTGTCCTCAGGCTAAAAGACAAGGTAATCCGTCGAAAGGGACGAGGATTTGGACCGGGAGAAGGCAGAGAGCACGAAAAAATCCGGGGCTACGAGTCAATCGAAGCGGGAGACAACGTCGATGAACTCGGGCCCCAAAAATCGGTGGAAGGTTGGATCTTGTTCGTAACATCTGTACACGAAGAAGCTACCGAGGACGACCTCAATGACAAGTTCCAGGAGTATGGCGTTATAAAAAATATCAGCATTAATTTGGACCGCAGAACAGGCTTTTTGAAAGGGTACGCTCTGATCGAGTTTGGAACTTACGAAGAAGCAGCCACGGCCAGAGAAGCCCTTAACGGGTCCTTGTTGTTGGGACAGACGATTGGGGTGGATTGGTGTTTCGTGAAGGGCGCTAAGAAGTCCAAAAAGCGCAGTAAGAGACACTGATGTATCAACTAAGATGTCCTATTATATATAAATGTTCATAATTTACAATAGTCAACTACTAAGAATTAATGAAATAGTTAGAAAGTAGGTATAATTACACAATCACATGTAATAACAATTTTGAAAAGTACATACAAAAACAAACAATTTATTGTGACATAAGAAACTAGGTTTAAAATTGCTAAGTGAAGTTCTATTTTTAAATTACTGAGTAGTTAATTCATATTCTTGTAAACATGTTGGAGCCAGTTGAGATAGTATTTTGTATATTTAAACCATAGTTCGATAGTACTGTCGTTTGGAAACTGGTAGCCATTGTAAAGAGTCCAACATGAAGTTGATCGATTTGTAGCGATTCATTATTAAAATTATTCTTCCACCTTGATTTTGTAGTTCATTCAAAACTTGAAGACCTCTAAATCAATTACCATGTATAAACATAAAGGATCATATAAATACTATACAAACATCTGCTTACAAAATCAACTTGCCAAAATCATTGATATCACATTCAAATGTACTTTCAGAGTTCTGTTATGGTCCCGCCCACGAGATGTTCGTTCGTTAGAAGACTGTGAAAGAAATAATTCTCTAGTATCTTCTTAGATTTAACAATCTGTATCTTTCCAACATGGCTTTCGATAAAATAAATCAACAACTTCTGCCATTGTATAGTTATGTATGCATGTTTATGACCATAAGAACTCGAAGAATGCTTCAGTCACCTCTTCTTTGATTCAAGTAAAGCATTTGATCCAGTAGACCACCGTTTCCCTTTTGAAAAACTTTATCACATTGGAGTTAGAGGAACACCACTAAATTGGATAATATCATATTATAAAGATCACAGTCATGTTGGAAAATGCTAAATCCGAAGAAAAAAAAAGTTAATGTTGGGGTACCTCAAGGATCAATACTAGGTTCAATACTGTTCACTCTTTGTCAATGACATTTATTTATCATGCACACAAGCAAAAATATGTATGCAGATAACAAAATAAAGATAATATCTGATGGAAATCTGGACAAAACAGTACAAACTGCCAACAATGTCGCACAAACATTTTATGAATGGTGTACTAGTAATGGTCTATGTATCAATATAGAAAAAATAAAACTCATCTCTTTTATTCTGAGAAATACTTTTCATAATTTTTGCTCTTTAATAAAAATCAATGACAAATGTATAGAATAGGTCACAACTAAATTCTTAGGTGTCATTTTTGATCAAAAAATGAAGTGGGAAAGTTGTATCAAAATATTAAATAATGAACTGAGTAAAAATTGCGTTGTCCTGAGGCAACTGAAGGGCACGGTATCTAGAGACATATGTATTAATGTTGATTTACTATGGTCTGGTACGGTCGAATATGTCACATGGCTTGATATCCTAGGGTCATCAAGTCATATTGACCAAATATATATCAGTCAAAAAAAAAGTCAAATGCATTAAAAGGGCCAAGCAAATATTTGTTGAATCATCTATATTGTCTGCCGCCGTTGTATATATTTGTAACTACTTTAAATGTAAAAAAAAACAATTACAGGAGTTACCTAAAAATAAACTGGGTGATGAAATGAATTTTGAAGACACAATGTGTTTCAAATCTCGTTGATATAAATTTTTTTAAAAGAAGCACATTTTATTGTGTGGAGAGTTTCTGCAAAGTTGAAAAATTTTCACATTTTCATTTTAAACTAACATAAATTTCAATATATACATATTTCAAATGTGTTGTTAAATGTAAGTTTATGTCTTTGATATCTATTTCTCATTTGGATCTGAATGTATGACTAGTCTAATGAATTAGGTACATCTATGTATTACCACGAGTTGTAACATATTTTGTTCTGCTTTAATAGATGAATGAATTTATTTATATTTCTTTTCTATTCTATGCAGTGAAAACAAATAATATCGATGAGAAATAATCAAAATGCTTTTGAATCATTGTCTTATATACAGTTATTTGAGATTCAATTGATTTTGAAATATTATCGAAAAAAGGATAACTTTTTTGTTATTTTCTGATGAATATATCTAAAACGATACTCAGCTGACAGAAAGTTATCCAGTTGGAAACCTTCAACTTTCTCACTACTTATAGTTAAAATTATATTTCCAATATCAAGTTATACTTGAATTTATTGGCAACTTTCATAGCTCTGGTTTTGGACGCAAGTTAATAATTTGGAGATACTTATTGACGCCCAACAAAATTACAGTAGAGCGTTGAAAATCTGAACCAATTGGGAACATAGCATATAGTATTAAAAATACAGTTCTGGAGTACAATACAGGAATTAAAAACAATAGTTTCTGTAGTTGGTTCCTTGAGTAAATATGTATGTAGAGTACATACAATTATAAAACTTGTTATTTCCGAGATAATTATGTAGAATGTAGATATTTATTAAAAAATATCCTCGAGAGGCATTCGGTTTTTGACGCTCTAATTTATATTGATTTTTTTTAAAGCTTTTTCAAAGTATCATTGGCAAGAAGGTTGATGAAATCACAGTCGATGAATAGTTGAATATCATTAAAATACAAAATATAAAGGAGAGGTTCTATGACACACTCTTGCGGTATCTCAATTCTTAAGGACATCAGCCAAGTGTCTCAATTTGGGCCGTGGATTAGTTTTTTGATCAAGGTCAAAACTCAGTTAGGATCAACCACTGCCAGAGAAGCCTCAATTGGTCTTCGTTGTTAAGACAGATGATTTGGGAAGATTGGTGTTTCGCTAAGGATTTTTAAAAGTGCAGTAAGAGTCACTAATAGGTTCGTTCCAACCTTGAGTCACAAACAGATTTCCAACTGTTTGTAAATCGTTGAAAACGCGCATGTCTGGTAAATATTGGTTTCTGATTAATTTGAAATTTCTGATTGGAACAGCTGATAGTTCAACTGAAGTTTGGCATGGAATTTCAACATAACCTATAAAAATAATTTGGGAAAGAAAGTTTTTGGATTTCTACTACTCCAACTTAATACAAAAAAAGGGGATGAGGGAATCTTCCAAAGAAAGGAAGGAAGTAATCAATTTGAAAATAAGTAACTCTATACATGGATGTGTAGATCATGCAAAGAAGTAACTTTCAGACACAAAAACTGAACAATTATGTGAAAATATTTCACAATTATTTCCAAATAAATTAAATCTTATCATAAATTGTTGTAGAAGCTATCAAACTTATTTTCATAGAAAGTGTAGTTTTTCTCTTCCACCATTCTGGTAGACGGGATGAAATCTTTGAAGGGCATCTCGAGCCATAAATCCATTACTTTCTTGGCAACCTCTGCAGAAGAGAGAGTTTTTTCTGAAGACGATGAGTGAATCAGCGAGTTAAATCTATCTAGGGCGAAGTTTATGTAGCTCTCTTGATGATGCAGCTCTTCAAAAGAATCTAGAAATTTAATGTCACTTTCAGATAGCAAATACTTGAACAAATAAATATTACAAATTAAATTATTCAACAGTTTGGTAGCAACAAATTTCTCTATTTGTTCATTTGTTTTTCATTTTCATTCATTGTTAATATCCCCATTATCTTATCCTTTCTTTAGGCCATTAAAAATTAACCCCATTTTATGAAATTACTTTGAATAAATAGAGTTCAACTGAAAACCTCCCACAGGTACTCACATCTTTTGAATGATGCACTTTTCGAAGGATATTTCGTGGACTTCAATACGTCCAGCTTCAGTTTGGCCCTCAAGATGTTCAGTACGATTGTTTCAGGAAAACTGAACGGACTTTCTAGTATCTCCGTCAACATACAGAGGTTACCATCATCGATTTCCAAATCCGCAGCCAAATTGTCGGTACACAAGTCTCGGTAGTAAATAGGAGAGGTCGATTCTCTAAAAACCACATTGTTATCATTGTTTTCATCGCGGTGAAGACTATATCTCACGTGTGTATGCATCTCCTGTTGAACTCCAGAGGAAAGTTTTCGAAAGTTCGAATCTCACCAGAGCAAACGTTTTCTTTCAACGTGGTGGACCACTCCATGTCTCCGATGAAGGGAATGAGTTTGCGGACGCAGGCAATCGCAGTATCACGGGTGTGATCGATCGACGTCAGGATGTCCCCAATAAGATCAATGAATTCTTGAATCGAACTGATTTTCAAACCCTTGAAAAATATTTTGTTAAAACTGAGAATGAAGCAGATTCTGGCTGTATTCCATGAGTTCAGACTTCCATTGTCTAATATAATATAAATTGATTTGAAATCCCTGAAATAAATTAATAAGATTTACCAAAAATAACAATTTTATTAAACAAAAAACTGAGATGAATAAACTAATAAAACTGTTATTTTTCGGTTGATCTTTTTAATTTCTTTCAGGGATTTCAAATCAATTTATATTATATTAGACAATGGTAGACAATGGAAGTCCGAACTGATAAAATACACCACGAAACACTGTCAACCACCTTCAAACAAACAGATTCTGGCTATAATTTCAACTGCTATTCAATGTTTGACGTGGTAGTGGCCAGGGAGGTTTTTGATTCCTGCTAGAAAAATATTTGGGGGCTCAAGTAAGTCATAAAAGAAATATGCAACGACTGTTTTGTTTTTTGGGGACTACCGCAAGGGTCTCATTGTACACCTCTTCTGTTCATCATCTTTGTTAACGGCATTACAGAATGTTTTGAAAATTCAAACTATCTAGATCTAGAATTTTCAGAACAATAGAATCATTGGGCAATGTTATGATTTAAATAGCTAGGATAGGTGATGTATTGAAAACAATCTACACATCAGCAAATGCAGTTTTATAGGCTTTTAAAATGTGAATAGAAAATTTCACACCTCATATTCTCTGAATGGTAATCCACTAACATGTGCCACGTCAATGAAGGATCTAGCAGTTATCTTTGACAAGCAATTGCGATTTGTAGATCATATGAATCATATTGCTGCCAATATTATATGACAAAACTGCCAACTATTATCTATCAATTCATTGAGAACGGTGTATCTTGCTCTAATAGTCTTCCACTCAGAATAACGCTAGATTATTTGGTCTCCATTTTATACAAATCACTGCGGTCAGCAGGTTTAACGTTCACGGATAAGCTAAAGAAAATACAGAAGAGAATATCAAAAACCATGTATAAGAAACCAAAAACGTATCCATCTAAAGAAATATTTCGTGAATCAGCTGTACTAGGTATGAATCAGTTGTATGCAAAGATATCACTAAGTACAATCTATCAAGAGCAATTGCCATTTCTAATTTTGAATTCCATAACAAACATCTCCAATTAATTGAGGATTACCTAGTAAAAAATAATTTTCCCAGAGCCTTTATTAGAAAAGTAAAGAAAGAAGTTTCTCCTCCCAAAATACAGGTGTGAAACCTAAATATCACAAAATTCCATTTGTAGAAAATTTATCTGATAAACTTGGAATGCTACTCAGTACCGAACAAATTAAAGTGGCCTTTTCAAATAAAAATACAGTTGGAAAGCGTTTTTTCTCGAAACAAAAACACCACAATAAATCCAATCCAATATGGAGTACAAATTGAACTATGGAAGCTGTCACAAATGCTATGTTGGTCAAACCGGACGTTATCTTAAAACACGAGTTTCAGCACACATGAGAGGAATCTTTTTTGTAAAGAGAATACCATATTGAAACGAAATTGTGTACAATTTCTCCAAAAACAAGTTCCATAACGTAAATAGAACTCAATTTGTGCAAAATAAACTGATATTGTAATAGTAGTGTCTAATTCTCTTGCAACAACTCTCACTGCATGACATCCTGCTGCTAGTCTTTTACATAAGTAGTCGACATGGGAATCAAATTTTAGATTTTCATCAATGAATTTGTTTTTCTCCAAATTTTCAATTTTTACATTTTCCAAGTGTACTTACTTCCCCTATGTTACATCTAAACGTGACCACATTTGTTTTGTCGATGTTGAACGATAAAAGATTAGAATCACACCTCTCTTTCACCCTTCTTATGTCGACGATTATTTGATCAAGTGAATTTGAGGCGGTATTGCTATGCCAGAGGATAGTGATGTCGTTAGCGAAACATGTGATTTTTCTCCAAGTTTTGAGAATCACAACTACCAAGCAGGTAAAAGTGAGGAGCTATTATGATTTTCTGCAAGGCAGCAGCATCAACAAATTGTTTAATTTCATTGAAAACAAGACTTCTTGATGTTGATGTTGATGTCATTACTTTGGAAATGTAAAAATTTCAAAAATGAACTCATTGGCGACAAATACCAGATACCATATAGTGTCGTCATCTTTAGCTTAACTTTATTCATAAAACATATATTTTGAGAGATTTTTGTTGTGAAATCTTTTGTTTCTAGAGAGTGTTGAATTTTATTTGGAGAAAACTATTTTCCTTGAACTATAACGTGTTCGATACTCACAATATTTTCCTTCGTTTGCGACAATTTTCTCGACACAAGTTGCAAGTCGATTTTGTCTTTTGCATTTTTGGCATTCCCTATTTCACGTTTCATCGCAGAGAGAGTGGCTTCTAAACTTGCGTCTTCAAAGTGTTGTTCAAATGACCTTTTGATATCCTCTGTTTTGTCCACTGAAAAGCCCTTCGAGGTTATGGAGACCTGCAAAAAAATGGTAAAGAAGAAAAGTTTATATTTGTATTTTTTATGTGTCTACTCACGTAAACGTTTGCTTTTTTCTTTTCAATATTCTGAGCGAGGTGTTTGGAAATTGCGTTGTGTTTCAATATTTGCAATTCGGTCTGGACGTGGAGGAATTGCAGCTTGCTAATGTCATCACTGTCTATCCCTTTGTGGCTGAATAAATATGAATATTTGAAAAAAACATTATAATATTGATGTATTCAACAGGGAGCAGGACAGACTCTGACCAATAAAATCATTAGAAAAGAATTATATCCCTTAACAGTCGAGAAGAAATGATTCACAAATCATTGTACTTTTTCCTTGAGATAGGGTTGACTTCAGACAGTAGCTTTCATTATTTAAAAAAAAATTACAATAAACTACTGAAAAGTTATTATTGATAATAATTCAATGAATTATATTTTGATGAAAAATTATTGTGGACAAAACATTTTCAAAATATTCAGAGAGAGAGAGAGAGAGAACAAAAATTCTTATTGACAAAGCATATCTTATGTTAATAGTTTTAAAAATAGACACAACAAAATAGATATCAGTCAGAAGATAAATATGAATAATTGCAAATGCTACATCAGACCAGAGTAATTACACTAAAACAAGATTACTTTAGTATTGGAATTGAATGCGATTTAAAATGTTTCATTAAAAAAGTCCGCAACAGAGTAGTATGGTTTCTCACTGAGTAAAGTTTTCAATGCTTTTTTTAAAAATTGTTGAGCTTTTATATTCTCCATCTCCAGTGGTAGATTGTTATATATTTCACAACATTGTATATAAAAGAGTCTTTGTCCAGATTTGAGGTTGGAATAGGTAATCTAATAGTTTCTGCCTGCGGAGTACAATAATTCGTGTGGATGGCATCAAAGCTGGTAATGTGTTTTCTTATCAGACATGCAGTTTCTAATATGAATAATGCTACTACTGTCAGAATTTTATACTTAATGAATAATGGTCGACAAGAACCTTAATTTTTTGCTTTACACATTTACCGTATTGCCCGTTTTTATCGGATAAAAATGGTCTGCATGTGGTTGTTACTAACCCCCAGAAAGCAATGTCATAACGCAGGTGAGATTTGATAGGTGAATGATGAACCATCTTTACGTTGGATAGTCCTAGTTCATTGGATATGACATTAACTGCATAACATTCAGATGCTAGTTTGCTTTTGAGAGCCTCAACATGATTATCGAAATTCAGTCTGCCAGCAATGTGTAACCCCAGGAATTTTGTATGACATTTGTTCTCAAATGACTCTTCTTCTAGCGAAATATTTTCAATCTGTTCTTTGGAAGCGACAATGGTTTTTGAGACATTGAAAGAGATCCTATTTGAGTTACACCATTTTCTGATTACGTTGACATCATTATGAATTGATTTATTTAAGGACTCTATATCCAAACTATGCTACTTTGTGGTGGTATCATCAGCATACAGTGTAAAATTCAATTTGAAATGAGGAACTATTTACTTTTTGAAAATTGCAGCAGTAATAAATCCACATTGAAATCTTTGAAGTTTTAAGAAAATAAAATTTTCATGCCAGTGGTATATTCAAGATATGGAAGAGGGGCCAATATGAAGAATCTTCATATGAACAATTCTTATGTATCATATGAACTGATAACAGTCTACTGACTCTTTATCTATTCCCCTAGGAGGGTATTTGTCCCCATTGACCCTACGTGATACAAATCTTGTAATAAAAGAACATAAAGCATTTCATCACTTTTGATACAATTTTTTTTAGAGTACAGCTAGCCTAATTTCAATTTGAAAATGACCTTACTGACCTATTGAAAATTGGTATTATCAGCTCCGAAATTCAATGCTGCTGATAAAAAAACCAAATGCAGTTTTTGTTGATCTTTCTTCAAGAGTATTTACAGTTCTATTTATCTACATTTAGTTTGTCGCAGATTTTTACTATTACTATTTTGGGCTCAAAATGGTTCAATCAACTGCAGAAAGAGGATTGATAATTGAACTTCATTATAAAATGGTGGGTGCGCTAATACTACAGCACAGTTGTTTGATGACCAAAATCGTAACTGAAAGTACTTGATAGAATGATAATGTTTTCTTCGTCCTATTGTTCTGATTGTGCGTCGAACATTGCCAACTTGTTTTTGATATTGATTTGACGGTTAGTTTCATGAGCATTTCATATTACCAAACAAAGACTTTATAATTGGAATTTTGTTGACGGAATATTTGATTGATTAGTACTAATTGAATAGTATGTTGTGTATTCATTCATGAACTTTTTTCTGTTTTACAAAAATCATATTCATTTTGGAACATATAAGCGGAGGCTAAATCTCAATGGTAGTGACACCAGTCACTTCCTGATGAATGAACCATTTTTTATAGAATTAACGAAAAAAGTTGATTTTATCATTTATTTTTGGAAAGTAAAGGTCTATATAAACAATTTTCTCCACTGAAACTGCTACTGTAACCTTCTTTATTTCAACAAGAGCAGTACTAGTACCACTTTTGCAAATGTTTTACATAAAAAACAATAAAACACATAAACTCACTTTGCTTTTTTCGAACTCTCCAAAACCAGATACTTGCCGATATCCAAGTGCAGATTATCGTCCAAACTCTGAAATGTATTCCATACAATACTTCTGTTATTCTTATGGATCAACTCCGATAATCTCTCTGTAACAACCTCGCTTCCATACAGTCTATCCAGGAATTCTTTCTTCAGATCTTGCTCCTTTCCTTTAAAATCATTCCTTGTTCGGTTCATCAGAAGCGGAGAGTTCAAGTCGACTCTTTGCAAAGTTTGAAGAGATGGCGAGAATGGATTCTCTGAAGACACTAGATCTCCCATCATGAAATAATCACCGAAACAGGAATCAGGCAAGAGCCCCAAAGACTCTCTAGGATTGGATCTGATCTCTTGGGGTTTATTGCGCTTAGGTTCTTCTTCCTCTGCAAACAGACACTTGGTGACTTTGTTCAAAGCGATGTTCTCCTTGTTGTGACTGGGAAATACTTTTCTAGCACTGATTAGGTGTTTCGATGTTTTTTTTTCAGTCAGCGTGAGGTATTTTTCAAGAACTGAAGGATATGCTGTTGATTTTTGGGAAGAGTAACACGCCTTGCTGGCTTCATGATTCGCTAGCTTCTTTGTGGGGATCGGGTATTTGTGGAGAAGTTCCTCTAACTTTTCGGCACACTCTTCTAAGGTTTGCTGGAAATATATGAAATTTCTTTGATGAAGATGTAGCAAAATTATTATTTATTTTATAAAATACTCTTTTAAACACAGTGGATCACAACATTCTCCGACAGTGTTTGTCAACTTCAGGTTTCAGAGACCTAGCATGGGATATATTGAAGGACTACCTTACAGGAAGATCAAACTATCAGTTTAATCTTCCTCTTGAAGATGATCACTTGGTGATCGAAACACGTGGAGGTATTGAAATACCGGCTTGGTGTTGGGATAAAACTCCAGTAATATTCATTACTACATCAAAGGTTCCAAACAGTGCATCACAAGGACTCAAAGAGTTAAAACCAATAATGTGCTCAGTGACCCATTGCCGCAATATCAAATTGCCTACAGAAAATTTCATCATTTGCTGATGATATGGCGATTTCTTTTGTTAGTAAAACATGGGAGAATGTATATAAACACGCAGAAGCAAAAACAATTTTCAATAGGTTAAGTAGTAACCTCCTGAGTATTAATGTCAATAAGACTAAATTCATTTCTTTTTTCTCAACAAATGAGGATCAATTAATTGTAGAAGATATCAAAGTTCATAAAAATTATTATTCCAAAATCTCTAATTGCACTTGTTCTTCTATATAAGAAACAGATTCAATGAAATATTTGTGTGTAACAGTGGACAAATGTCTACATTTGCACATCAATGGCGCAATAACTGAACTACAAAAACTCATTCATAAATTGTATCAACTCTTTAATGTTGTAAATACAAAATTTGATGACTTTTTATGATGGCTTGGCAGAGTTCATTACGAAAGTATTATATTGTGGTGTGGAAGCTCCAAGATTTCGCTACATAACATAGAAATAAGACAGAACCCAATAATTAAAATCATGGTGAATAGAAGGGGCGATATTTTACAGAGGCACTATATCATCAGTTATTATTTCAAGAGTGAAATTAATACTGAAAAATACATTGATTTCTTCATTCATCTTACTGTTATTTCTATAGTGTTTGGCTTAACATCCAACTCAACCGGAGTTAAATTTCCTAAAAAGTTGAGCATATCTTCAGCCTGTTGGACATCCTTTTCCAACAACATGAGTTTCTTCTGTAACAAAAACTCTCGTTCTTCATTTTCTTTAATTTTTGCCTTCAGTTTTTCCATAGTGATACCTGAAACAAGTCAGTAAGGCACCAAGTTACTGTTTTTTATGAATTGGGAAAAACTCACATTTCAACTTGATTTTTTGGTACAAATCATGATCCAACGTTTTTTTTTCATCTAATAAGAACTGCTTTGTTTTCGATTTATCTTCTAGAGATGATTTTTTCAAATACAAATCTATTTCTTTTACAGGAAAGGTAAAGTCCCCCTGAAATGAATGAATCAAAGAAAGATAATCCCAAGAAGTTTTCTCTGAAGATGTTGGTATTCATTATTTTTACTTTGACTGCACACACCTGTTTATCCAAAGGTTTACTATTAAGCCTATGTATAAGGATATTGTTTCGAATATCAGCAACTTGTTGTCTTGGTTTGGCGTTCTCTAATAATTGGTCCCATATAAAGGAAGTGGAGTTATTAGACAAACTGGAAAATTAGTTATTGAAAGTCGAAGCTGTGCTGCAGAGTAAATAACTTACTTTCCCAAAGTTTCTGGAATCTCACCGTCGTAACCCATTTTCCTCAACCAGTTTATGATTTCTAAATTTCGTTCCATAATTTTAACTCAATAAGTTATTTTTAAAGAATTTAACAATATTTCTGAACAGTATTTTTTTTATTTTGTCTTTACAATTTCAGTTATATTTTAGGTTAAGGCAGAGTCATATTCATTGGTTTGGTTCTTTCAAATAATTGAATCAATGGGTGACGAAGAAAGTCAGCTGTTCATACTCTGATTGGTTCATTGGACGAAAGAAATCCTGTTAGTAGCTATTTTGAAAAATATCAAAACTATAGACGGTGAGCGTTATGGACGTTTAAGGATAACTCTCTACTTGTAATCTAATCTTTTGTTACTCTGAGAGAATATTGAAACGTTTAGTTTGAAACATTTTATGAAATCACTACTTCCAAAATAGAAAAAAAAAAAACTTGTGAAAGTACCTTTCGACAACCAGATCACAGAGTGGTGACATATCATTTTAAATCTATTTTTTCGTTAACCAGCTGTCGCTGCCCTACAAACGATAACTCTCAAAAGTCGAAACTTGTGCGAGCTAAGAACTAACGAGATCTTACCTTTTAACGTGTGGTTACTAATACGGGTCGAATGAAAGTAAGTGAAAATCGATTGCCCGGCGTTGCGGTTCGAACCACCAGTTCACACAACGGTCGATTCAGTGAGTAAAGCCATCATCCACCTCAACCGACCGGCTACCGACCGGTTTGATAATTCGAACATCATAAGGCTTGTCCGAATTTTGCAAAATCTTTTTAATATAATGACTGTCAAAAATGATGCAAAGGAGTTGAAATATTTTAACTTGATTGCGAATTGAATAAATCATGGAATCACAGAACACATGTAACGTATCATCATTCATCTACATTGTCTTTAGATATAGATATCTTGAATAATTTTTTTCAACTTTTTCAAATATATCGTCAATGAAAACCAATGAGTTTCCATAAAAAGTAAAAGACGGTTTAGTGCTCGCAACATTTTTGAAAATCATAAAACACAGAAAGACTACCACAACCTTATAAGGAAGATGATAGGATATACAATCTGAACATGAGTAACGAATAATTATAATGATGGATGATTTTCAATGTTCAAAAAACTATTATGAAATCATTTTCAAGACTCATAGTAGAATAGATATAAAAGTTTGAATCTGGACCACCAACAATTGTTATTGTGGGTGCAAACTGGAATGTTTTACTCAGAAAATATTTGACCTATTATATTATAGAGATCAGAGGTGAAGGAAGTGAAGACTCAAAAAAATAATTTTCCACATCAAAATATTCAGGAACCAAGGAAACCTGCTTACAACTGCACACACCACAACATTTATAGTAATCATTTGATGGAAATGAGTTTTACTCAATTCTGGAGATTAAGATTTATCAAGTATCTTATGGGAAAAGAGCAAACCTCTTCTCTTTGTCTGATCTTCTACCACACACAATGACTAAGTTAGCGCATTTATTTAATGCGAATTTTGCGTTCAATCAATGATAAACAAATATGTATCAAATGAACCAATAATGTATTTGTGTCAGACGCTTTTATTAAAGTATTGGATTCATCGTTATGCATTTGGCATATGAGATATATTCGACGTGAGTATATCGTTGTTACAGAAGCAGATATACGACCCTTCAATTTTACCTTTAGACAAAATGTCTCACTGAGTTCACGTTACGCATCTTCCTCGCACTCCCATAGCATTTTCCCCCTCGCCTGTCACCTACTTTAAATCGCTTTTACAAACACATTTATATATTACACATGTTCACAATGAATGAACAAAATTGCATGAAACTTTCAAGCTCACAGCAACAGTTTTTTTTTTCAAATTTCATATACACTTTGAAAAACATAAGGGTTGACAACATGCAGAACTGAGACGTGCTAGGTGATGGTTACTGTACTCAGCACGCTATGACTCATCACTATGAAAATTTTCGGCCTTACAGACGTACCATTACTCAAAGGGTTCACTAGCTTTTGGTCTACAATGACTGAATACACTACTTAATGCTCATAAGACATCCCTCAGTGAACTGACTCGCTTAAATCATGAAAGAACTCTTCACTTTTGACTAGCGATTTAACATTTTTTGAAATAACTCATTAGTTTCGTCAACAATACTGTCACCATAGACATTTTGAGAGATTGTTTGTTAAAATAACAAAACATTATTTTGTAGAAATCATAGTACGAAATGCCATCTTCTTCGTTTTCCTTGGCTTTTACAGCGCCACTTCACGGCAATGGTTGGTTCTGAAGTGTCTGTTCATCTGCTCAAGTCTTGAAATTTTTTAGACGCTAGTAAATTTTAATAAAAAAATTGAACAGTGGTCAACCTGGTTCAAAGTTAGTCTGGGGTTTAATGGTTACGAATTACGATTTCTGTTGTAAGGATAAGGAGTTGAATATTTCGAATTTAAGAAAATAAATTCAATATTTATGTTCTCATTGTTAATGAAAGTTATATATTCAAGTAATTTTTTCTACTCTGACTTCGTTCTCACACTGAAAGAACTAAACGGTTTTTTTCAATTTTGAAATGGATCAACAAGTAGGTAATATTTTTTTTTATTTTCAAGTGTTTTTACTTTTGGTTGCTCCAACAGGAAAATTCCAAATTATTAGAAGCAGCTAGATGTCTAAACGCAGTAGAAACAATCTGCGTAAAAAAAGAACTGAGCAAAAAATTAACCTCACAGCCTTTCAGTTATCTCTTAGTACTAGATTTCGAGGCCACCTGCTGGAGTAAAGAAGACGATTTCAAAGCCCCGAATGAAGTGATAGAGTGCCCCTGTGTTCTATACCATGTAGAAACGAACAGAATTGTGTCAGAATTCCAGCTGTACGTCAGACCTGTAGAAAATCCTATACTCAGTGAATTTTGCATGAAATTGACAGGTATCCGCCAAAGTCAAGTCGACGGAGGATTCCCGCTGGACGTCAGCTTGATGCTGTTCAAAAAATGGTTGGAAGAAATGAGGAAGAGGTTTGCTTTGTCATATGATATATATAGCTCTGCAGAAAACAAGTGTATCTTCGCTACGTGGTCTGACTGGGACTTAGGCGTTTGCTTGAAGCGTGAAAGTCAAAGAAAGAGGATAACACTTCCAGAGATGTTCACCACGTGGATTGATGTTAGGGCGATATATTGCTCCCACTATTTACGGAAGCCAAAGGGGCTTTATGGGGCGCTGCAGGAGCTGGGGTTGGAGTTTGTGGGACGTGAACATTGTGGCTTGGATGACGCTAGAAATACTGCGAAGTTGATTGGTGCAATGTTGGCAGACGGGGTGTTACTTGAAAGGACCCCGTCGTTTTAATAAATAGTAAATTGATGACAAAAGCTGAGGGCGTGGCCCTGTTTCATGACTGAAGAAAAATACACAGATCTGACATATCACTCAGGGTAACTTATTTATATATTTTTTATACTTCTTCCGTACTAATTTTTTTATTGTTTAATAAATGTTTTTTTATTATACTTATTTTGTTCTTGTGTTTAATGTTTATTACAACAGAATAATTGACAATATAAAAAACTTCTAATATTTCTGACATATCACTCAGGGTAACTGATTTAGATATATTTTTTTGTACAACTGTGGTGATTTTTTTATGTAGATATTTAATAAACATGTTTTTGTTGCACTTCTCTTGTTTTTATTCATAACGTCTATCAGAACAAGGTCTGGAACATACAAACAGATTTCTAATTGGATGTTTAGGATAACTAAAAAGAAATGAAATCTTAAGTGTTGCAATTCATTCAGAAATTTGGGAGTGATTTTTTATACTAACATGTCTCAAAAATATGTATTTTTCTGCACATAGGTTAGTGGGCTACCTTGTCAGACTGTAGAGTTGCTCAGATGTCACACAACAAGAATGCAGTCTCATTTAGTTTCCAGCACTGTCATAATTCTATACAATACGAAAATTCATTGATTTCATTTTTTTTGGTGCAGTGACTTCCACCATTTAAGAAGATGATTCAAAACCTTTACTTTGCTTAGCTTTTACACCATTCACTACCTGTCAATAATTGAGTCTATTTGTAATTTTAATTGTTGCATTATGAAATGTTCTTGGAGTAATCTCGTTTCAAGCACCTCTTTTCAATCCACGAGTCCTGAAATGGACTGCAGTTATATATAGATACATCTAAGATGTCATGTATCTCATCAAGAGCATCTAGAGGCCCCATATCAGTTCATCTAGCTGGTCTACCACGTTTGCCTATCACCTGTTAATTGTCATCTAGACACTTTCAAACCAGTCTATCATTATGACTAGGTAGTTCATCTTGCTGAAATAAAACATCAGTTGAAAACTTATTTGGATTTGTCAATTATCCAAACCGCTAGAATTATCCAAACCACTAGATGAGCAGACTTGACGATCCTTTGAAATGGCCGACTAGATCACTTGTTATCACACCTCTAGATGTTTTTGAGGTAACATGTGAGTTCTGTAGTGTTTGGTATACAAGTAGAAGTATTCAGTAGAAAAAGAGTTACTTGCAATGGAATTACCTCAGGAATATTTCATAAAGTAAGAAATCAATTCCTAACAGACTTCATTATTGCCACAAAGTGAATGGTAAACATAAATTAATGGAATCGAATTTGAAATAGGGTTTTCCAACAAGGACTTCCGAACTTTGACAATTGGCCATCTCGTTGAAGTTATATCACCATTGACGGATATGGCATTCAACAACACGCGCAAATAATAAAATTGTTCTATCAAAATGGGTGTTCTGTTCAGGCAACGTACCGCGCGCTTCGCCTTTTTTACGGTCGCCGTAATCGCCCTACCGAGAGGACTATTCGCAATGTGGTGGATAAATTTGAGTCCTCTGGTTCAGTAAACGATCGAACAACACCCGTACGTCGACGAAACGCAAGATTTGCCGGAAACATTGCTGCTGTCAGGGAGAGTGTGCAGGAGAATGCGAGACAGTCAATTTCGCGTCGCTTACAAAAACTCGGCCTTTCGCAGACATCACAGTGGTCCTCAAAGCAAACATAACCCAGTTCATCGGTCATGTGCAAAAGCAAAAAAGAACAAATCTCGATACGTGAAAATTTCTGCCGATCGTTCAAATCGTGGGGCACCCACTTTTCGAGCTCTACGATGTTTCCGATACGTTTTGATCCATCAAAAACCGCATGGCGGCAGCTGACCCCCAGTTCTTCCGACACTCCACTCACCGTTTGTGATGGATCAGTCTCCACCAGGGTCCTCAAATAATAATAATGATAAACAGCTCTAAGCCTATGAGTTTTTTTCATTTCTTCTAGTGGGATACTTATGAGCAGGTATATTTTTAGTGAAGAGGTGTGAATTTTTATAAATGAACATTAGGCATTCATAGATATAAATCGCGTAGATTGTCATTTTATTGGTGGATTTGAATACTGTTCTGCAAGTTTGGTTATAATTTAAATTGTTGATTCCTCGTATTATTCTTTTTTGAACTATGAAGATTTTTTCGATATTTCGATTGCTACCCCAAAAAATAATTCCGTATCGAGCAACCGATTCGAAGTTAGCCGTGTATATTGTTTTTATAGCCTCATTGTGCAGATATTTTGATGTAACTCTAATTCCGTACGATATTCCACTTAGTTTGGTTGCGAGGTTGTTCTCGTCTATGTGGATTCCTAAAAATTTGGTGTTGTAGGACAGTTCAAAAGAAAAGTTTTGAAGGTCCACCCTAACTGGATAATCAATGTTGTCTTGGTTTGTTCTAAACAATATCAATCGTAATGTAGTGTAGCTTGACTATTTCGGGGCTGACTTCGAGGTTTAAAATTTCCGACACGATATTTTGCGTTCATTAACGTCAAATGCCATGACAGAATAGAATTAATATTTATTGAGATACGGAGTGGGGAAAAATATTTACGTCCGCACTGTACATCAACTCAGTGTTACGATCTTCGTTCGGGTTTGAAGGGGGTCGTGGTTTGGAACTGTATCCTAACGTTTCGTTTCGCCAGCACAACTGGCTGGCTTCTTCAGAGGTCTATTCATCCTGATGATTCACCGATGACTAGTGATTTCTAGTTCGTAAGCTGTATTTACGTTGACACAGGTAGCCCGCCTTTCTAGTTGGTGCGTTGTTATTGGCCGAAGTGTTATTACCTGTTACATTGCGTTGCACTGCTGCCAACTTAGCATCTTTGGCCGAAGTGTTATTACCTGTTACATTGCGTTGCACTGCTGCCACCTTAGCATCTTTCAGTATGGGATTCCAAATTAGGTTAAGCGTTATCGCCACCTCTTTTCTGTTGTAGTTTTCTGTATGTTTATGGATTTCTGTGGCTTCCCGTACAAGCCGACTGTGGTATACATGATCGGGTGCAGATCATACGATACTGTTTGAAGATGTGAAACTACTTGCACCCGATCATGGATATTATAGTCGTCTTGTACGGAAAGCCATAGAAATCCATAAACATACAGAAAACTACAAGAGAAAAGAGGAGGCGATAACGCTTAACCGAATTTGGAATCAAATACTGAAAGATGCTAAGGTGGAAGCAGTGCAACGCAATGTAACAGGTAATAAATAACACTTCGGCCAAAGATGCTAAGATGGCAGCAGTCAAACGCAATGTAACAGGTAATAACACCACGGCCAATAAAAACGCACCAACTAGAAAGCCGGGCTACCTGTGTCACAGTCTGTGCCTGTGTTAACACAAATACAGCTTATGAAATAGAAATCACTAGACATCAGTGAACCATCAGAATGAATATACCTCTGAAGAAGCCAGCCATTTGTCCTGAAAATCTTGGCCGCGCGATAAGTTCATCATTATGTGAGCGGACCTTCTTCACCCCAATTAAAATGCTGAATTTATGCGTATGGAAATCACTTATATGCACATATTTCCTACATCGGTTTTGAGTGAAAAATTATATTGAGAATAGAATTTATTTTTCAGAATCAAAAAATATATAAATTGTACCTTGTAGCGAAGCAGTCTATTTTGTTTCCGATGGAATTCATCAATTGGCAGTTTATTGACGGCCAATTGTGCCAGGACACGGGTTGCGCCTCTACAAATTCGTGAAATAATCAATAGAGAGGAAATTTCACCTTCTACAATATAGTCAGTTTTCAACAGATTATATGATGGTTAATTTTCAATGAAAATGACGGGTGGAGTAACGGCCAGATGGAAAATGAGTTCCAACTGCTTGATTGGACAACCAACTGAAGTAAGTTACCACTATTCTATTTATTATTATTAATAGATATGGTCTTGTAATTCACTGTTTGGAACCTCTGGTGTAGTAATAAATATTACTGGAGGTCTAACCCCAACGTTATTTTTAATATCTCGACACGTGTTTCAATCACCAAGTGATTATCTTCAAGAGGAACTGTAAGTTTAATCTTCCTCGCGAAGATGATCACTTCGTAATCGAAAGACATGTTGAGTGTTGAGGTGTTAAAAATAATGGCTTGGTGTTGGAATAGAACTCCAGTAATATTTAATAGACATGTTGTTTTTTAATTGAGTAAGATTTTCGAGAACAAAATGGTACAGTGTTTTTCACTGTAGCTTTCACCATAAGGTAACCAGTTGTAAACTGGAGCCCAAACACAACGCATTTATGATTCAACACCAAACACCAACGTTTCGATCCACCATAGGACTTATCAATGGTGCTAGGCTGAACTTAAATGCCCTGCTGGATGCAATGGCCTTTGAAATATGAGCCTGAGTGAGAGCGATGACATTTCCTATCACCAAACCGCCATCTATTGGATCGACAGAGAACTGGGTCTCATTAGTGGTGCTAAGCTGGAGCTCAAAATGGATTGCTGGACTCAACTACCTGAGTAAATGAGGGCTCTGGTTTTCAGCAAACTTCCAGTTGAATTACTTCTATATTTATTTGTGAAGAAATTTAATATTTCAGAGAGAAAATCCAACACGGAAAATTGATATCACTGAACGCCTGCTACCAGTAAAAGTTGCTGTCAATTTCTTATAGCGATTTTCAGCATATTCTCAAGTTTTTCTTAGCAATGACAATTGTTCTAGAGTTAAAATTATTACTGAGTGGTGGCACAGTGTAAACAAATAAAGACCATTCATTATTATTATTAGAAACTCTATGTTAGGTAGATATTTTCATGTAAACTTTTTTGAATTGTTTAAATTTTCTGGTTCGAAAAGATTTTTAAATGATTTTTTTTTCTGTAATTATACGCACTTTTTTGTATATGATTTACATTTCATTCATTATTTCATTCTTCATTTGTTTATCACTTTATTATAGAATCAGGCTTTAATTTTGTTTTCTCATTACAGAAAATAAGAAAGTCAAAGCAAAAAATGATTTCTACTTTGTAACAAGCATATCATTTACACCTTTGTGTTATAATGAACAAAACTTTATATTATTATCATCTTTATTTGACTTAATTTTTTCAGACAATTAGGTACATGAACACCTACAGATTGGAGTCGCAAAATCCGTTCGATCCAGAAAAAGTAGATAAGATTCTAAAAACTGTTTTAATGGAGGCACTCGAAAATCTAACCTACGATCCCGAGAAATGTGCCAGTCAAGCAAAGTGGGCTACTTCTGTGATAAGGTCCAAGGTCAAACAATTGCATTTCGATAGGTATGTGAGTTATCTGAAGTTTTGAAGACAAAATATACCGTTTATCTCTGAATCACTAAGAGATTAATAAAAGTTGTGGAATATTTATTGCTTTGAATTGAAAACAGGTCTATTATGAAACTCTTGAAACTGTTTATACTTACAGGGCGGACCATCCGAAAGGTACAGTAGGGCATAATTGCTAGATCCAAAAACATGTCAAGTTTATTTAGGTGGGTTGCAAGTTTTGGCCCAAAAACCATATTAAATTTTCAATCCTTTGAACAAATATAGAGTTTATTACGTTTTTTCAGCCTGTACATTTGTATTTGTTTCCTCTTACATTTATTTGTATAACATTGAATGTGTGTATGTTTTTTTGACAATTCAATGTTCCTTATATTCACAGAAATGAAGAATATAATTACAATGTCCCTCTCTGTGCAAGATCTCAGCTTGGGACCACTCGATGTTGTGTTGATGGGTCCAAACATGGTCTGCTATTCCTGATTTGCTGGTTTCCCCTCGCTGTGTGTGCTTCTTGTGCTCGGCAATGCGAACATTCA